GGGGGGGAGGGTATGCGAGCGAGAGAGAGAACAATAAGTTACAGTCATAACATATCCGTTGGAAAAAAAAAACTTAAATTAAAGATTTTAAAACTGAACCATTTATTTAATAGAGGCGAGAGGTTTGTGTTTGGACATCATTATCTCAGGCCTCACGAAACATATCATGAGCCAACGCGAAAGTTTTACATAAATGAAGTTGTGTGCGCTCCATTATACGAAGCTGTCCCTTGCGATCTCGTAGCCGAGCGATGTTGGGTATTGGATCCTCATACCTACTGTAAAGGTATACACAAATTAGCATTTTATTCGATTCATTGCAGATGTGTAATTACGCCGTTATTTTGTAACGAAAACTAACTGTTTCGTTATATGTTTTTGAATTAAGGACGTCCTGTCGGTTCTACTCCTGAGCACACTTACGTATGCGAATATCGCGTTGATCGCGCAGCACGACTTTTTACGAAGGTGGCTAGAGCCAGGCATACAGTGTGTACAAAACCTTACGCATTTGAAACCTTCCCACAACGCATAAAACATTATCGCACCTATTTGGTAAATACGATTTTACTGTTCTATTAAAATCATTAATACATATCGTGTTAAGTATGTTAGGTAATATTTAATTTTTTTCCAGCCTCATAGTCTCGATGGAATCAAGATGTCTAAAGATAAGAAGAAGAGTATCAATCAAGAAGTTGATGGGAATCAAAAGTTGGAATCCAATGATAACGTAAGGACGCATAACAAAGAACATAAATGTGGTAATAGGACCAGACGGAAGTCAGGCGAGATCTTGACGGTTGCATCGCCTGCAACGTCGTTCGCTCAAGTAATTATTACAAAGGACTTAAGGGCAAACATTATTTGTTACATACATTATTAGTATATTTAATATATTATTATTTGCAGCGGGAGGAGCAGCGGAAGAAATTGAACAGCATTCTACTGAATCTACTACAGAGAATGCCGAATAAGAAAGATCCGTTAGATCTATCGTTTCTTCTAGAAAGGAACAGGCGAAATCGGAAAAGACCCGGCGGACTTAATCCGTGATAGTGGGTAATATCACAACGATAATATAGCACATTGTATATAGACTAATTTAGAGTTACTACTAATTTCAATCTTAGTCAGATTAATAGGCTAGTTGGTTCTAATCGTATCAAGATAATTGTACATCTATCTTTTCCCCTTTTTTTTCTCGCCCTCTTTCCTCGGAGGAAAGCGCGAGAAAAGTTTTTCTTCAACAACCCGTCCATTCGTGTAATTTATATCTATATATAGTAGCCGAAATAATATTTAACATAGACAAAATTGTCTATCGATATTTTTTAAAATTTTTTTCTTTTTTCTTTTTCCTTTTTTTCTTTTTTTTTATAGATATCTTGTAATAGACGATTAGATCTTAACGTAAATTTTTTTTTATTTACTCTATGTTTTAATTATAAAATAGGTAGATACTATTTATTTATAATAACGTCGAAGAATCATGCAAACAATTAATAAGTACTTTAAACTGAGTAGATTATAGGTACTTATTTTATTTTGATTAAAGTATTTAATGGAAGAAGAGTAATATCGACGTTAAGGGTCAACAGGAGAGATTATGGAGATCTTTATCAAAGACGAATTTTGATTCTAATTATGGCTAAATTACTGAGAAAATCGCGCTGTAATTGAAATATTCGTAATCAGAAGAAACGCGTCTATAAGCCTGTTATAAAACGATTTTGGAAGAAGGGGAAGACAAAATAAAAGTACGTTTTGATATCTTACTATAATGCAGTTGAGATACAAATCATTATACTTATTAAGGACGAAATTACAAAATCTGACTCTTTAGCAGGTTTTTCACAGTTTTGTGAAAACATGAGTAAAAAAAAATATATGGCAATTACGAGACAAAATATGATGAGTGTACATCTAGATATGTATACATCTGTCGACCCTTAAACGTTAAATCGATTCTCCCGTGAGTTGGTTTATTGCATTAATATAATTGTGGACTTTTATAGAAAATGTTTTGTACATTTTTTTTCATAGTTAATATAGCTAAATGTACAAATTATATGTTTTATGGGGTCAAAAGAGTAAAACGTTATGTGAATGCGAGTGGGAAAAATCAATCATACGAGAATCTATGTGAATACAAGCGTGTGTATTCACGTAAGTAATACTTTATTGCACAGAAGTAATATTATATTTTTCATAATCCCCTCGATATTTGAAGCATGTGTAACATACTTTCTTCACTTTATGAAAGAATCTTTACTAATGTATTTAATTTATTGATATATTGAATAGGCGAACGCGATCGGATGAATCGCAGTGATTCCAAAATTGTACATATATGTACTCAGGACTTTATATTTATTATTGCATTACACAGTATGGTAGATACATACGATATAAATATGTTTAATACATGAGTCTTACTCTTTCTTTTTTCTCGTAACTAACTATTATCTATATATTATATTACTTTTATATAGAAACTTGTAGTATTATGGTTATTTCAACGTAAGACGAAAGTATTAAAAGAAATATTATTAATGCATTACCTTACACAATGGTATTTTCAAATTAATATACAGAATTATTACTTTTATTTCGTCAGAATAAATGTAAGTTTCTACAACTACATTTATATTTCGAGTATCGGCAACAAGTAAACTACTGAAATATTTATTATATTGTGTAATTCAAAAATAAAAACAAACTCGAAGCTGGCCTTCTATGTAAGCTAGTGTATCATGAAAGGGATACACAGTGCGTGAGTAATTATTGAAAAGAATTAATAATGCTGATTCAATTCTACATTGATTTGAAATTATCAGTGAATCATGAGAACATTAAACGCGAAATGTTATCGCCATGCATTTTCCATGACATACACTCTGCGTTTGCTTTGACGCTTACAGCGCTGTTGGAATCATTTCATTCTTGTTGTTTATCAAATGTCAAACAAGAACAAATGATGGTCATGAGTGCTACGAGCGTCAAATCGAACGCAGGGTGTAGCTGCGTGTATCAGTTTACTCGATTATTTTTACAAGAGTTTTATTTGTTAAGAACGTGTAAAATGTAACTTATATTTATTTTCGATATCATATTGCTATCGAAAACAATGTTGGCATAAAAAAAAGAATCATTGAGTATCACAATTTATTTTAATATATGTAATATATTACGATCTTATACATGGCTTTTATTATTATATATACAAATGTATGCTTTGTAAGATATTTTTAGCGATTCGAAATGCTTTATTAATTATACATATATTTCTGTTTGCTTTTATTTACTCGGGCATTCAAATATATTGTATATATATTGTTTGTAAGAGAGTTTGTAACATTCATCTATATTTGTAGATGGACAATCTCTTTTCAACTATAATGGCATTAACAACTAGCGGTATTAACAATATACTGGCATGTGTAACAACAATTCTTAATCAAATACCTTTAGTGAAGTCATGTTATATATTAAAATGCATCAATTATGTTATTAAACGTTTCGTACAATATCGTAATATATGAAAAAGATATATTATGTAGTTTGTAATTATACGAACAAAGAATTTTTCGATTACGTTTAATTTTCTTCATTTATATTATTAGCAAGGTTAACGCGCGAGGCCGACAGAAGTATAATGATGTATCGTATAATATAAAGGATCATTATATTTTCATACTAAAGAGATTCGCAAAATTATTTTTTCCAAGTCTAAAGTAACTTTCGTCTTACGTTTATTGAATCTTTTCAATCATGAAAAAGCGCGAGTTTTTATATTTTATTATACTTAAGCGATTTTGTTTCTGCACATCATGATTAATCGTCGTTTGAATTGTCATATATGCATATACTAATGCAATACATTAGTGACATTTTTCAGCTCATCATTCGTAACAGTAGCTGTGTAATAACTTGTCTCCTGAGTTTGCTTATATATATAATTAACACTATTATAATACATTTAGATATAATCAAAAGAAATTCTGGAAAAAAAAACATTTGTTGCGACAGCTTTCAAACATGTAGTGTGCATGTACAGACTATTGTATTCTGACAAACAAAAATATACATGAAAAAAGTTTCCTTACACAAATCTGTCATATGTATTTTTACTTAACTCAACTCTTTTCTTTTTTCTTTTTCTTTTTCATTTTTTTTTTTATTTTTAATACCACTCTTGCGTGCATTTAGTATATTTTTTAACATAAATTTACGCTACACAAGATCGCACGTCGATACAAAACAGTCTAAGCAGGTGCAAAGTGGCACATTTATCTATAGATATAAAAATATAGATAAAAGCCAAAATAAATAGAAGAACCCTTTTATTTTTATGAATATGTTTGTACATTTTTGTGTCAACAATTAAGTTTACAGGTTATGCATTAATTATATTTTGCATCATATAGAAAAGAAATTACTATGCGTGATTATCGTCATTACACAATGCAGGCCACAATATTGTGGCTCTTTTTTTATTCTTCTTCACTTATGGTAACACAGAGGTACTAGCATACGCTACGTGTAGGTTAAATAGAGCTCCTGATTATTTCTTAAAAAATAGCTGATCTCCCTCTTTCTCTCGTCTCTCCTAATATCTCTTAATTATATTTAACTTTGCGTATCGCTACACTTAATCGTTACTTAAATTATTTTCCATTTCACACAGAAGTACTTTAGCTCGGAACATCATACGCTGTACAATACGTACGGAGAAAAGAACGAGCTAATGAGACAATCATTCTCTGAACATGAAAAAAGAATTTTTCTTACGAGTGAATATAAAGTATCGTGAGAAGAAATGGGAATCATCTGCCTTGTTCGCTTTTTTTCAAATATTCGTTCTTTTAATTACGACAAAAGATGATTTGCGTTGCAAATGTCTGATGCAAGTTACATTTATCATCACAAAATCGTATAATTTTTGATTCATTAATCGTGAATTTGTACGTAAACACTGACTGGTTCGCGTGATATTCTCAAAATTGATGTAAAGAGATGTTGATAAGGTGCGGCTGAGATAGACATCGTGAATCGTGAGGCATTCGTTCTTTATTTCCTCAAGCGAGGATAAAGGAATCGAATTGTTCTAGCAGAGGAAGTACGTAGGGTAACAAATACATCATAAATTGAATATCGCATAGACAGCCGAGACCAATGTGCAAAATTAAATATACAGAAAAAATGTCGTTTTCTGTCATGCAATACATTCAAAAAGTATACAATCAGCAAAATCATATTTACGCAGGTAAATAGTACTAGAGAAAGTGTTCTATTCCTGTGTGTAACTAGAAGATACAAATATTTCAAACTGTTTAATAAATCAAGTTAATTATCATAGCAAGACCTCGTTCGTGTCGTGTTGTGCAATGAAAAATCTGCATGTATAAAACGTGTGTCCAAGAATAATTTATTTGCGCCATAATATTTTTCTTCTTTATACATTCTCGGTGGTGTAGAAAGATAAGAATAGGGATAAACGATATACAATATATATTTTTTCTTGTATATTTTTTTCTCTTTCTAAAAGGGCACTGCTAAAAGTTTCACTATCAGCGAATTCTCTAGTGCAGATTAAAGCTTGTCGCACGTTAATATGTCTCAAGATAACTGTAAAATAAGCAATCAATGAAATGGCCAACAAATAATACACCAAACAGTACAGTTAACTTACATTGAGTTTCAGAAACTCTGAAGTTTAACTGTTGCTTTTTTTTGCATACATTATTATATACCAAATAAAATGTCAATTTGCATACCACAGTTTTTAATGTGCACTGATGCATTCAAGCGAATTCGCTACATCTACTCAATGTATAAATAGATCGATATTTTTCTGCGTAATTTCTTTATACTTTAGATCTGTACATATTTACACGAGCTTTTGAGAGTGATTGCTATCTTTTCTTTTAATACTACTTGCGTGGTTTGTACCCATACGTAGTACTCTTCCTCTTACCTTTTCTCCTTATAGTTTTTTTTTTTAAGATGCGATAAAAAGTTATATTCTTTCTCGCGAATGTTACATTACCGTTAATGCACTTATATTATTAGACCTGTGTTTCCGGTAAGAATTGAGAAATTCATTAATATATCAATTATATTTCAAAATTGATTTTCTCACATGCATTGTCGCGACGCAAGTTGCGATTTTATAATGTTTTGTAATATCCTTACGCATGGAGATGAAAAAAGATCGTGCGAATCTTTGTCGGAGCTAAGAAAGCGCAATGCTGTCTATATCCGCTGTTATGTCGATGTAACATTCTATGTATGACAACGCAAAAAAAATTCAAACATTTGTCAAACATATATACATGTATATATACATGTATATATATGTGTGTGTGTGTGTGTGTGTGTGTGTGTCTGTGTGTGTGTGTGTCTGTCTGTGTGTTTGTGTATGTATATTCATATACCGTAATGTATATAACGTGTATAGTATAAGTTCTTTCCTCTACTTATGTGAATGAGACTGTTGCGTGGTGGTTGCTGTCGTAGTACTTAGAACGGGTACGCGCGTCCTCGCGTAAAAGTCTGTTATCCTTGCGAGTAAGTATATCCTGCGCCCGTATTGGTAGAAGTCGTTGCAACCATTTCACTTGTAATCTCCTGCGAACGTATGCATATGCAAAATTCAAATGCAATTACAATGAATAAACGATTCTGGCAATATATATGGATTAATAATAAATTGAAAATTGAAACACTTTTCGGTTTACAAAAGTAGCGTCCTATGTTTGTACCTTACATTTATTTTCCGTTCTCGTAACATTTACGGTGGTGGATTATTGTTTGCTTACAGCTTGGCCGCCAGCTGCAGTAGTCTGCCCACTCTGTTGTTGTTGACCCCAATACTGGTTGTTGTAATACTGTTGATTCCAGCTATTCCAATTACCGTTGCCGTATCCATGTTGATTGTATCCTGCCTGACCGTACGTGCTTTGGCCATATCCCTTCCAACCGCCTCCCCACTGTTGTTGTCCCCAACCACTCTGTTGATTCCAGTTTCCCGTAGCTTGGCTTCCTGACGACCAATTGTCCTGTTGACCCCAACTCGACTGTTGTGATCCTTGATAATTCCCGCTGAAATAAATACAACCAAGTTTTAAAAAATCATTTATTGAGTCACTCATTCGAATCATCGAGAAAATCTGGATATTCATCTAAATAAAAAATAGGTAAACAGCCGCTATTACCTCATAGGGCCCCAACCACCTTGTCTGGGCGCAACCGATCGGTTTCTGTCATTTCCTTGTCTCCTATCAACTCCACCACTCATTCTTCTGTCTGTTCCTCGTGCCATCGCAGGTCCACCTCGTCCTCGTAGTCTCCACGGAACAGGATGGGGGCCATAGCCACCGGTATGCCTCATGTAACCACCCCTTTGCGGTCTCTCTCCTCTCCAACCGCCCATATTACCGCCGCGCCAAGAAGGATTGCGACCTCTATCTTGATCTTATTCACAAGCAAGTATAAATATAATAGTATTATGTAGTCTGTAATGCATAATCATCAATAACAACACTGTAGTACTCACAATTATTTCTTCGATCTCGAGTATCTCGGCTGTTTCGAGAATCACGCGTTTCTTTATTACCCTCAGTCTTATCAAAACGCGGTCGTTTTGCCGCAGACTGTTGACTGAATCCAGCATCTTTACCTTCCTTATTGTATTTCTCAACGAGTTTCTTAGCTTCTTCCTCGCCAAGACCGATCCACTCCACTACATCGAAAAACTCTCCCACCGAAGGTATAGTGAAATTTCCTGTACATTCAAATTACACCTTACATTTATTTGAATAATCTAATCTAAATTAAATAGTCATACATATGTGTATATATATATATTATTACAAGTGCAACTTCTATAAGCACCTTTCATTTCCGTAAGATTGGATTCTGAAGAATTTTCTTCGTTTGTATTCTGCATGGATAAACGTTGATTATACTCCTCGTCCATCGGTATGACAACAATCGCTTTCCGTTGATACCCGCAGAAATTTCGCATTTTACGCCTTTGTACGGAAGAATATATGTTGTTCTTCTGCAGACATAACACATAAGATTGTTTCAAAAACAATGTTTAAATTTCACAATTTAATTATTCAAACGTCTATGTTCTTTCATTCATGTATGTATACACATACCTGGTCTAATATATAGTTACGTCTTCTACCACCTGCCACGTCGATTAGTTGATCGAGTGCGCGGTTGCATCTATCGATAATTTCTCGCTGACAAATGTTTTGCTCTTGATCTGACACAGCGATATCCTGGAAAGGAAACATTGCATAAAGAATAAGCACGATATATTAAACGATTTTTAATTTTACATACCCCAGTTTTCTCAACCAAATTATGGAGTGCCAAGATATTGTATAATTTATCGGGGTGGTCGGCCGCGTGCTTCCTTGCCCAAGTAGTTTTTCCAGCCGCGGGCAAACCGCACATCATTATCACTTCGCAATCTGCCTTTTCATCTGGCCTACGCGGACCTGCAATTTTGTCCTTGGATTCGATGTTACCCACTAAAATGTATCCGGAAATTTGCTCGCACCATGCCTCCTCTTGGCCAAAATTGCAGGCAAATGTACAGTTTTTACTCAAAATGTGTGGGAACAACGGTCGATCGCCAAGTTCCTCTTTGGAAACACTAAACGCAGATCCAATGTTTTTGCCATTTATTGTGTAAAACAATTCTACGGTATTCTCAGGCGTCATGTCAAGATAACATCCTACAATGTCGTCCTTGCCAAATGGGGACCCATAGTCTGTGAACTTCTTGTCAGTTCCCTGCTGTCCAGCACTCGTATATGCGTAACTTAATTTTTCCTCACCAAGTTGCATGGACGAGGAGGATACTGACCAACCAATTCTAAGCATATGCGAGTGTTTCTCGTCTTTTGTGGTAGTAGGACAATGTTGTGTGATTCTGGCTTCAAAATAGACCTTTCCATTTAAGACACCGTGAGATGCTCTTGCACCAGCCCACATGTCACAAAGATCACCATCGTGCATAGGTGTAGCAGAGAGAAATCCATCTTTATCGATCACTAAATTCAAGTCTGAATCATCTGAGAATATAAAAATATTTGCAATATTATTAATATATAAACATATACGCACATACATATATGTTAAATAAAAATTGTCAGTCCCAAAAAATATACAAGATTTAATTAAAAACTTACACCATGATAAAATTACAACTGATTCGTCAAGATCTGGTTCATCCTCGGTTTTCCGTGGCACAGGAGATAGCTGATGGACTTCTGCTGGGCTAGGAGATCTTTTCCTTTTTCTGTCATTGCATTCCATTTGCTTTGATCCTTCTGCATCTAATGTGGCTTTTTGTTTCAAGAAATAGTTTTCGCCTATTTTTGAGTCCTTTTCCATGCAAATAAAAATAAAAATGTGTGATTAAAAATGCATTAAATTTACAAGAGGTAAATCTTATACATTTGTTACATATTACTTGTATCATTTTATATGTAATAAATAAAATAAATTGTATACCTGCTTATCTCGTGAAATGTCGATATCATCATTTTTTTCATTTAAGTTTTCTACATTAACTGAAATGTCCATTTTTTCATCTTGCACTGTATAATCATCATGAATAGTCTTTTCGTCGTGCTTTAATTCACATGTTTTGTCTACCTGATCAGGTATCACATGTGTTGGTTGTTCAACTTCCGGAATGTCTGTATTATCCTTAATGTTATACTTATCCTCTCTATGTTCAACATTTTCTTTCTCAATTGAAATTTTATCTTTAATGCTTTTCTCAAAAGCATCTTGTATTTTACCGATATCTTCATCTTTAATTTCTGTCTTTTCTTCCAGTTTAGTAATAGCTTTTGCTTCGGCAGTCAGCTGTTGAATTTTGCCATCTTCATCTATACTAGATCCCTTTGCTTCATGATCTCCTCGAGATATAGAAAATTGATCTATGCGTGCAATTGTACTAGGTTTTTCAGACGGTTCTGTCACAGGTACTTGGAGAATATTTGCTCGATACTTATTACCTTCTAAGATATTAACACGCTTTGCTTCTTCCTCCTCCTCCTCATATTTATCAGAAGAATAAATTTTGTTCTGAAGAATATTTGACGCATCCTCTTCTTGCTCTTCTCTATACTTTTCAGGAGACAATTTTGACATTTCCTCTTGTTGTATAGCTTCTTCGGAGATAGATTCCGAAATTAATGTCTCGTATGCTTTCTCATCGTATTGAGATTTGACCGGAGTAGATTGCTTTGAAGAAATTGGAGTAGACGCTTTTGATGCGTTTCTCGTGGAAATTTTTGTTGGAGTCGTCATCGAGGAACTCCTAGATGCTCTACTAGGTGTTCTCGGTGATTGCGACGATCTCTCTTGTGTCTCTTTCAAAGCTGTATCACTAATACTCTCTGTGTGAAAAGCTGGATCATCTGTAAAAAATAAAAAAAATTACAACTAATTATTTTATAACTTTGTATTGATAAGTCGTGAAAGAGAATAAAACTTGAAATTAAAAAATTAAATTTTACAAATTAACACAAGAAATAAAAAAATGTGGTACTATACTAGATCACATTTAAATATATAAATAAAGGAGCATAATTTGAGTTCAAGTCACAATCAGTCACTCTCATTGTTAGATATATTTTATAATGTTACAAGATGTAGACAAATGTAGCGGTCACCAGGAAAGTAATGCATAGTAAATGAATGGTAAAGGTACATCACATTAGAGATTAGTAAAGTAACCGTCGAAATAGGAGCAAGTAGGCACTTGATGATGCACTTGAAGGGTACAACTTACACTCCTCTGCTTCCTCCTCGAGAGCCTTGCGTAGCCGCTCGACGAGCACTGGCTTGTTGCCCTTGGTGTCGAGGCCGCGCTCGCCTAGCGCGGCTCGCAACTCCACCACTTTCAATTTAGACGGATCCATCATGCGCGCGCGATATGCCCCGTTAATCAGACAGGGAAATTCATGCACACTCAATGTTTGACGCGAGAGAGAAAATGTTCACGAAAGACCCATATACACGCGCCACTGACCCGCGCTGCATACACAACATGGCGGAGCGGTCGCAAACAGTTGGTTACGTAGCGCGCGCCATGATTATTGGCTGATCGCGCGGCCGTCTCGGACCGACGCCGGTCGCAGCGGCTAATCGCGGCCGCTGTTTTATCCACGACCAAGTGCGGCGCGTCCGGCGACTGGTTCACTCCATGGTTTATTCCAAGGCGGGACGCGCGACCATTGGCCGCTCGACGTGCGCCGCTCCCGTCAATTTAAAAAGGGCGTACGTGACGTATGACATATGTATGTATATATGTAATACACTTGGCTTATATGTACTATATATGTATATATATATATACTTGTATTTTTAATCGGAATTTTAGAGAACAATTAAATCGCCATAAGGAAGTATCGCATCATTTATTATAAAATATTTATTGTATTACGTTATACAGCTGAACAATAAATTGTATACTTAACCAATGAGAAGCACTTTTTTTTACGCGCGATGCTCAACGCAAGTTTCTAATTGGTTGTTGCACCCTCAGTGTCATTTTCATGAAAGATCGATGCTATTGCTTGTGGTAATACATACGCGGTCGGTAATTACAATAATACATATATAAATGTTTATCATATGATCGATCGATTGAATTTTTTTAAACTCTCGCGATTCAAAGTAATTATATATATATCTGTACAAAGTTGTACGGAATTATGAATTCTGTTACATCGCGCATTCGAATGCATACTTACTTTGTCACTTTATATTCCGTAGCGTGAGAAAGAAGCATGAATGCGATTAATATGAACTGGTTATCTTCAGCGGAAGGAGAATCTTTGGTCCATCACTTTTACGTGAATTCTTCTAAAAAGAGGAGATTCTATGGTATTATCTATTTATGTTAATTATATAATATAAAAAACGTATATTGGTTTTATTCCTAGTTTCACTGTTTCTGTATATTTCATCAGGCATTCTGGAGAGACCATCGTTGCCTTCCTCTATCGAGGAGGTCACTTACAAGATCTTCATGATAGGTAGATCTGGCGTCGGGAAAACTTCAGTAGTAGCGAGACTCGCAGGAATCCTCGACTCCAATAATTATACAGAAACCAATGGGATAAGAAAAACAAACATTTATTGGCCTGTAAAAATCTGGGATAAAGTCGTTTTGTTTAAACTACAATTCTGGGACACCTCAGAAAGCAGTATAAAAAAATACAATCACATTTTGCCAGTATGTGTAAGAAGCGTACATGCATGTGCACTCTTCCTTGATGGTTAGATTCAATTAAAAAAGATGTGTAGATAATATTTTTTTCAGGTGTGCAAAGATAAAGTTGACGCAATATGCTCTGTGTTTTCTTTTGATGATGCATCGAGCTTCAACGACATTCCATACTTGATAAATACAATGACAAATATAAAAGGAAAACCAGCGAACATAGTGATTGGCACAAAGTAGTACTGCTACTCGAATAATTGTATTGCAAAAGATTCAGATAATATCTCAGACTTTTTACAGGTTTAAACCTTGGTCAAGCTCCACCATAGATGAGGCACAAATTAAAGAATTCGAAGACAAATGGAAAGTTAAGGTGATCAAGTTTGATGCCAGCAAATTGTCAGTAAGATCAGAGATATTTGATTGCTCCTACCAACTGAATGCCATTTGTAACATCTTATGGAACAGAGATAAAGAATTTATATCCAAACTAATGGGACAAGTGTAATAACTGCAAACACATGTATTCTTCTACATTTTATATAAAATAAAGGTACAAAAAAAAGGAGATATCAATCATACAAATTATTTAAATTTTAAATTTTGTTTGCTGCATCCTCAATCACATATAACTGCAAATTTAAACAATCGGTTTTAATACCTTTTAGTGGCAGTAAATTTTTATTGATCATTTCTATTGCATCATCTTTAATAATCCATGGAAAATCTTCACATTTTGGATTTTCGCTCAAAGTAATATGTGCAGTTTCATAAGTTTGAATTTCGATAGAAAAAGTTGAATTATCTGGGATGGGCTTTAAGTATGTATCACACATTGATAATTTTAAGCAAACTGTCTTCAATGCTTCTTCTGTTTTTAAATAATACGGATCTCTCCTAGAAAAAAGAAAAGAATTAAATAAAGAATGATAAAAATCAGACAGTATATATTATAATTACTGTTCCACGTACTCTGTAAGCTCTGCCTGTAGTTTAACCATATCAAAGACAAATTTTTCTACTGGCAATTTGTTTCTGTTGTAGAAGATAAGACTGACAGCTTTAATACTGTTTTCATCTTCTTTTAGCAATTCTCTGATTGCATTTAGAACGTTTGATAAATATTCATTCAACTCTGGATGTTCTGATACGTATATCGTAATTCCATATATCTTTTTCTTAACAAAAATTTCCTTGGAATAGATTTTACGAAAAAATAATATGTGATTAAACGCTACTTCCAAAAATTCCAAAAGAATATCGATGCCAACTGCAAATAAATTTTATTTATCTCGATGACTGCACATACTACTAATACTAATAAAAAAAACATACCTATCTTGTCTTGAGACATTTTACGATGACGTTAAAAATAATTGTCATGCTACTTTTAAAAAAGTACAAAAAAAAACATATATATATCTACTTTTATATCTTAACAAATAGTAAATATGTATCTTTACTTCTATCTTAACCGTTTCACATGTGCATGTGTATAATAGGCAACAATAAACCGCCATTACATAATCCTCCAATAGTGTCATCTATGTCGAGAAACATATACTAATATACTATATATCGCCGAATCTACTGTGCCGATAAAATAAGTTTTACTTATTGCAAAATATATATATATTTATAATGCTATTATCTGTGTGTATTAGAAAAAATACATTTTCAAAAAATGTATAAATTATCTATTTCAATCAAAAAATATATTTTGTTATGTTAACAAATTGATATATAAATATGTATCAACCGAATTTATAATTGGCATAAATCTCGCGGAACATGTCGCGACATTTGACTTTAGCTCGAAGTTTTGCACACAGCAAAAATATTCCAGACAATTTTCTATGCAAGCTGTATATTTCTTCAGGTGGTGGGCATAATCTATGATTTATTATAGTTGGTACTAAGGCTTGGATCCTGCAACACATAATTATACATAATTACATTACATATCGTGGGATGGATGCGAAGATAGATTGAACGTACCGTTTTGTTACATCTTGGCCACCAAAATCATAATACTCGTAATTATTATTGAACACTTGCCCAAGAATCATAACTGCATCCACATGAGCATCCTCCATAATCTGATAACGTAAAAGTTATTGCTCAATTAAAACCGTACACATAGAAATATTTTTAAGATATTAGAAATTATTTAGTAGAGACAAGATACCTTAGACTCGTAGCCAGTAAGAAATTTCATCTCTTGAGACAGTTGTAGGACTTTGTCGCGATTTCCTTCACTTGCAGCATTAATGACTTCTATATATTTATCCAGAAACGTTTTCTCATAAGTTCTGCATGCTCCGAAATCCAATAAAATTAACTACAAAGATGCACCTGTTAATATTTTTCGCAATTGTTTTAAAAATGTTTTAAATACATAATTACTATATAGGAAAACCTGGTTTGTATCGAGATTGTAAAAGAAATTGGACCAATTTGGATCAGTCTGCATATATCGAAATTCGAATAATTCCTTTAGGCTCAGACGCATGATCAGTTGACTTATACGTTCCTTAATCTCAACATTCATATCTATACATTTGTCGACAGGTATACCTTCTATCATCTCTGTTGTAAATATTTGTTTGGTACAGAGATCGTCTAGAAATTTTTTTGATTTATATTAAATATCAAAAATTGATTCACCTTTTCATTTACTACTATTTGACTTACCTATTACTACAGGCACATAATAATCTGGATAAGGCATTACTAACTCTCTATACTTTTTCGTACACTCTGCTTCCCTTATATAATCCACTTCCCACGCCAGTTCCCGTTTCGCAACCTCCACTACATTGTCTATAAACATTCCCTCTGGAAACATATTCCACACCTGCAATGAGCACATACGACATTTGCAGTACAATAAAAAAGTTCTGCACATCATGTTGATTCGAGATATATTATACATTTACAGATTACATTTTAGATTATATTACCTTCATTATGCCAACCAAATTTTCAATATCGCTCTGAATACCCATAGCTACACCGGGATACTGAATCTTTATCGCTACAGCTTGCTTATTAAATAATGTACCATGATGAACTTGTCCTGTAAGATATATTAAATATTTAAAAGATCTCTCTTAATCTCTCACATTGTCAGTACCATATACGAATCGTGAAAAGAGCATCAATGTACCAATGGATGCTGCGGCGAATGGCTTTTCCTCAAAGAATGCCAATTTATTTCTCCAATTGTGTCCAAGTTCATTAGTTAACACTTTCTAGAAGGAATCGTAGGCATTAGGAAATTCTCTTTTTTAATCTATTTTTAATCTATATTTATTTATATCATTTTTACCTCGACTTGCCACTTTGGCATAAAATCAGCGCTTTGTCTGACTCTTTCAAAGACTTTCTGCAATTCGGGATTTATGATAGTATTATCTTGGATGCTTAATATTTGACCAATCTTTAAAGCTGCACCTATATTTTTTTGGTAAATAATTTTGATAATAATTTTCATATATATGTATGGATACATAATATAGTTGTACATGTTTAGCATACCTCTTACTTTGCACAATGTTGAAACTATTCTCTCTGCATTAGCTTTAGTGAGAAACATACCGTCAACCGTATCCCCAATACTCTGCTCTTTTAATCCTAACGTTCTCCGTGTATATTCTGCAGCAGTACCAAGACCAAGCCCAATACCTAAGGTACCGAAACTTACCATTCTTTGCAATCTTGTAGAGGGAACTTTTCTTTCTCTGGCAGTAGGTGATAACTGTAACATAAATTAAATTTAATATATTAGTTAAGTGAGTATATAGATATACAAATACTAAGCACATTTTAACAAAAATAAAAGATAATCTATCTTCTGATATTTACACATTGCTTTGGTCTAACTGATAATTTAGCTTTTGGTCTTTCTTTAGAATTCATTTCCATATGTATACGTTCCTTTTCGTGTACTTTAATTACAGAAGAATGAGCAGAATTTGTAACCCTGTTTTTAATATTCTTCTCATGTTCCAATTCCAATCTTCTCAAGATTTCTTTATCTTTGTCAGAGAATTCTATATTGGGTATCTCTTTGTCTGAATTAGTAATAGTTTTGATCTTTTCCTTAACGCTCATATATTTTTTTGTTGTGTTATTTTGCGTGTCTTCTAAAGACTTTTTAGTTCTAGATTTGCTAGTATTGTATTTTGGTAGTTTGGTGACATCTCCATTAATAGGCAATTCTTTCGGATCTTTTGCAGTATCGTACACATATAGTTTTGTTTCCTTCTTAGGCGTACGACCATTATTTTTTATATTCAGAGTTTGACTAGCTGTTACCTTAATATATTGTTTAATACCTTCCTCAACCATACTTATACGTTCGGTTACTTCTTTCAAGTCTTTCATTATCTGTCCCTATAAAAAATAATCGTGTAAACATTGTAAAAGGCGATATATGTAAGATGACATATCTGACTTGGGTTAGGTGTTAATCGTAAGACTTACAGGAACTTTACTTGGCTCTGCGTTATTCAATTTCCTCCCTGCAGCTTGTAAACATTTCTCAGGTAAATCTTTTAAACTGGAGTGTGTGATTCTATATCTGATTACATTCTCCTGATGTTTTATCAGAGCATTCGTAACACTTTGTACCCCTTTAAGTACACCAAGTAGATCGGAAAATTTAGATGGAGGCATTTCTGAGAAATATGTGAATAATAAAGTTTTTTTATACATTATAGTATAAAATAGTTTTGATAGAGCGTTTTCATAATAATATTATAATTATATGCAATATGTATCCTTATATATCGTTTTTGTAGAATCGACATCAAGGTTAGGATATCAAGGTTAGGACAATTCTGTACAAATTAATTATAATATATTGCAATGGCATGAAAAGCACAAATTCACTATTTTAATATGTATAGCGATAAATGTAATTTACCGATATAGACTCATGAATAAATAAATCTACAATAAATAATTACGAATAAAACTTTTTGTGCATTATCATTATACCAATGTGTCTCCGTGCAATGTGCACGCATGTGCACGTGCCACGTGTATGACTACTATGTGACGTGTTCTCCTACAGTTTTATAAGATGCGTCAGATGCTTCCTGCTTCATGTGTTATGCGCATGATGTATCATTTTTTTCTTGTTTTTAACATTTAATGAACAAAGATAAAATGATACATCATGCATAAAACGGAACGCACCTATATAATCTTTTAATGCGATACCTTTATTTGTATATTACTATCTTCGATTACATAATACATCATGCAGCAGACATGTGATTCAGCGATGCTAAGAAAAACAATGTTTTTCATAGTAATCATCATAACATTTTACAATTTTTCACACGAAAATATTACTTATCTCCTTTATTAATAACATTTTATTAGAGTGAATAGTTTTTTAAAATTGAAATAACATATGATTGAACGACAAATTTTAAAAAGTGTTTTATTTGCTTTACATACATTTTTATTTCATCGGCGCTCTTCGTGTACAACTATAATTTAAGAAAATTTACAGAAATTTCACAATTCCACTAACATTTCTGCCTTCCTTATTCTGTATATATCAATAATTATTATATATAACACGATGTTTTACGCGTTTATATCACACCGGATATACTCGACCGTATTAAACATCACAGAGAAATTATTTTCACACAATATTATTGCTATATATAATAATATATTAATTTTTTTAAGAAAATTATCAAGTGTCTATTATTATTTCCTTATACGTAGCTTTATACAATACAAGCTCTACACGAAACCTATATTTTTTATTTTTATATAGATATATATGTATATATACATGATTATTTATCTCTCGTTGTACCTTTATATCTTAATATTCTACAAACATAAAAAATTTTTTATACATTTAATTCTAATAGCTTTGGGATGGCAACTCTAACGATCTTCTTCCGAAGAAGAGTTAGCGTCAATCAGTGTTAATGATTTAACGTGACTGTTATTTTATTTCGTGAATTGCAAGTCTCTCTTAACAAGTTAAACTGATACATATATAATCTTTACACGTGAATTGAGTTTTCACGATAATTGTCATTCATCTTAAGCGTATGTCAATTATTAACACATATGTGAACATTTATATATATTATATATTAGATTCAGATACAAAAATTCTTGGACATTGTAAAACTGATCAGACTTTCATAGGAATACATGTATTGAATTAATCACGCGAGTTTTTAAGCACTTCTGACTCTACAAATTGTTAAATATTTTCAAAATCTGGTATACCAAGATGAAGTCATCTTCTCCAGTCTTTACATTACAAGTATAGAGAAAAAGAATGTCTGTCGATTTTGTATCGATTTTGTCGCCGGCGGGATTAAATAACATTTGGCTGATCTGGAATAAGCGAGGCAAAAAACGAACTAAAGAAGGACCAAGTGAAGGCGAGAGCGCCTGGGCGTTGTTCTTCGTTCTCCTCATTGGCGTTCGTTCGTGCTTCCGGTTGCACAGTTGGCACTTGAGCGTTTTGCTGTTGCGGCACAGCCTGCGGACCACCTGCCACTACTTCATTCTGCAACACCTGATTGTTGTTGTCTGCGCGTCCGTTATTATTTTCGGCCAATAAGATTGGTTGTACCCTGAAGAAACCGCCTTGATATCTATAACGAATATCTTACGTTACAGCCAAACAATTTTCAGACAAGATTTCGAAACAACATCGAGAAGCATCGAGGAAACATATATTATATGTATAAGAGTAGTCGTGTACTAAAGTATATTAGGAGAATTGACTCACAGATATATTGCAAATCCCAAAAACGTAACGATGAGGAACCTGAGAGGGGACGAATAGAAGTAGACTATACCAAAAAGAACGACGATCCTAGACAACATGTAGAAGAAATCCAACCAGTCGCGATTAAACGCAGCATCCTCGCCCACGCCGTTATTTCCCGCTGCATTGATTTCAGCTGCATCTTGAGCCGCTGGTTGGGGTTGTTCGTCGCCAACATTGTTGTTATTGTTGCTCGTGTATGTATGTTGAGCCGTATCACTTGCATTAATATTCATTTGCTGTAGGTATGGAATACTGGCTTGCAACTGTACGCCTTGCGCTGCCATTCTATAAAAATAATATTGCAAACATCTGTGCATCTCTCTTATTCTTTACAAAAAGCTGTATAAAAGAGCTACACTTACAATTGCATGTACTGTGTAAAATAATGCGTATACGCCTGTTGCATCCAAGCTAACTGCTGATTATTTCGAGGATCAAGGTACTGCTGAGGTAAATATTGTTGATGCTGAGATGCAGTAACGTTAGCATTCTCGTGACTTTGATTCTGAATATTGTTACTTATGATATGAGTATTTCTTGTTGTAGACGCAGCATCCACATTTCTCTCAGTTGATCGATTTTGATCTGATGTGTACATTTTTTGTGGGGTACAGACTAGATGAACGGTATATGCTTGATCCTCTGAACCATCGCACTGTCTCAAGACATCTTTCAGTTGTGCAGAATCATTTAACAATTGACCAGAATAGATCAATTTCTGATGTGAGCTTTCCTACAAATGACAACAATTTCTTGTTAGTCGAATAGTATATCTTTAACACTTTGTATACGTATATACAGCATAATACAATGATTAATAACAAATAATTGTGATATTAATTATAAAATACAAAAATTTTCAAGACAACAAAATTTGTAAAAATTTTAATTTGAAAAATAAAAAACACTTATATAAAATGTATATAGCTATATGGTTTTCCTTCATATATATGTATCAGTAATACGGCAATGCATAGTCACCCACACAAGTCTTATTAGGCAAATAAATGAATATTTTAACAAAGATACCACATCTTTTAAAACCATCAAAAAAACTTAGAAATACTTTCATCTGACGATGGAACTATTTGTTCCTTCAAACAGAACAAAGTTATTATTACAGATTACTGATGAACAATTTTGTAAACAAATTTTAGTTTAAATATAAAATCGCTGTACCTTCTGTGTATAAAATTTGAATTTCAATTCAATCAACAATTCAAGTGAAAATTATCCTGTAGGATTTTTGTATCTAATTAGGGGAAACGTTTTAAACGTTTGATTTACAATTATCATTGTTTACTTAAACACGTCATCCTGTCATCCTTTCGCTCACTTTTAATGGCGCAAAGAAAGATAGAAGGGGAGGGGGGGAATAAGACAAAATGCAAAGAGAAGCACACGCTGCTTTCACCGGGCGGAAACAACTTTACTTTCACGCGACTTACTGGCTTGCTGGGATAGACCTCGGACAGGTACTCCTTCAAACGGCCAATGGTCCAGCCGAGATCGCATTTAACCACCTGATCCTTGATCTGCTGATTTGGTGCCTTTATTATGAGATTAACGGCGGCGTCTGCCATCCTCTCGGCGTGTCACTGTCAGCCCGAGGCGGCCCGAGGTCAGCTGTTGGCGTAATACGCAACAACAGCGATTAACGATTCTTGCCGTCTCCTCGTCGTCGTCGTCAGTCGTCGTTCGAATCGAAATGAAGCTGGCGATGTCGATCGCTCCCTTCGTTGATCGAGAGGAGAGCGCGTTCCAATCTTTAATTCGCAAGGGAAATTCTTGTATATACACGCTATTCCCGTCGCGAGCAATGCTTCTCAACAAATTCTGTCGTACGGTACGACCGCGATCGTGCACAGCCACCACCGTCAAATGTCATCTGATATCGCTAGTGGAGAAGCACAACCGTATACGTGTGTGTATGTATACATACACTATCGCGACTCGTGGGACACGGGCACAGGATTGTTGGAAATGTTGGTATTGCGATTTGGCGATCGCCCATTGGCTCGAGATTACGCGCGCCTGTCAGTCCGCGCCACGCACGCCTTATGCCGAGTTTTCATGAGCTCTCTGCGTTCCGAAATGCATGAAGCACTACTTCGGTCATTTGGACTTAATTTTTGTCTTAACTCTAATGCGTTTAGGAAACAAACATGGAGGTTTTTGAATTAAATTCAACCGCTTCTCTTCTCTGAGGCATATACGGTGTGTACAAACACGCGAATAAGATGTAAGTATTAAAACTACACACTCCTTTTATTTCGTGCGTAAAAGATTAAAATGTGAAATTAAGATTCTATGATACGAAAAGTTTTACAAGAAAGGAATAATTCGTTTATTCGTGTCACAGGGTTCCATCTAAATCTAAGAGAAGTGAATCTAGACGTTCATCGGTAAGTTTACATAAACATATGACTGTATAGCTAGTTTTTCTAGATTAGAAAATTATTACCTATTTCAACAGGGTATGTGTATCATTAATGTAATCTTAATTAAAATTTAATGATGTTGGTAGATTCTTAAATCACGTAAACCACGGCAACCATTGCAAAATGTAAATTTTGATTCTTCGTCCAACGAAAACAGTCCAGCTGCATCATCAAAAGTCAAAAGACGGGTTAGTTTTGCGGAGAAAAAACATGTCAAGTAAGTACTTGGTTTCATATTGTTCAACCATAATTCGTTGCTCTAATATTTTATTCTGTGTAGAGAGTTTTGTCACTCCACTGAACAAGGGACTGTATGGGATAATACATATGAGGAGCACGATTTTAGTTTAAAAAGATCGCCTCTAGGTGATCAGAATGCTGAAGCTGAATCGAAAGAAACTGCATTATACACTTCTAATAATGACTCCATATGTATTTATTCCGAAAAAAATTCAGATTATCCAAACAGTACCTATCTTGTAAATAATCAGCTATCGCAAAAATCTGCTGCAAGAGCCAATGAAGAAAATGACGATGCAAGCAGTGATTTAGATTTCACCAATCCAGTAAGATCTACAAAATTATTTAATATATCTCAACTTGGATCTGCCGCATTGCCAAATAAACCTTGTGTATCTGAGGATGCAATACCAAGTGGTACTGTTGCATGTAGCGACTCGGATGAAAAATGTGTGGTATGGCCTGATGAAGAATCTCAATCCAGACAAACTGTAATAACAAAAACATCCAAAAATATTAAGTCAAGCAATATTACGACATATAGAGATTCCGATGAAGAGGGCTGTGTGGATAATGTTACCGATAAATATTATTCCGAGTCGTGTTCTCACAATGTTAATTCTGAATTAGACAAGACACGTATCCAAGATTTATCTATGGAATTAACAGCACCAATATCTGTATCTTTATTATCTTCACATCTACATGCAGAAGAACGAAAGGAGCAGGATCTTAATGAAAGCATAGATAATTTAGATACAAATTGTGCTAATTATAATAATGTATCGATGGAAATTACCGAGGCTGTACCAATATTTACAAAATCTGTCGCTTCTAATTTAGGAATTTTCGAACAAGTTTCAACAATATTACAAAATTGCGAAAAACCAAAATCCGATACGGCAAATGCTCATAGCATGATATTTCCAACAAATTTACAATCTAATATTGTTTTTAAAGATATTTCTGAACATACACAAGATATAAACTATGCCAATGAATCAATGGTATTAACATCTGTAATACAGCCATTCACAGATGTCACAGACATATGTCGTATAAATAATACAGCTTCCGATACTTCAATGGAAAGGCTTCCTGTACCATCTAGAATGTATCAAAAAAAGGTTAATAAAAATATAATAAAAAGAAATTATCCGAGGAAGGATGAAACTGATAAGACTGAGATTTTTAATGATGTACTGATGGAAATGACAAAGCCTGTAGATACTATATTTCCAAATGTTTATAATGAGGAGAATTTTAAAGTAGACGAACCAATATCTGGAGATGATAGAACTATGTTGTTTAATAATGCATCCATGGAAATGACCAAGGCAGTGTCGACAAAAAGCAAACAAGATATTACTGATACAATCATTTGTAAATCATTGTCTAAAGAGAGTACACATAGTGAAAAAGATGTAAATATACCAGCCTGCTTTGATGAAGGGACTAGAATATTATGCAAGTCTATGGAAATTACTCAAGTTGTTCCTTTGCACCATGAGAGAATGTTACAGGTTGCGCAATCAAACAAAGGTATGTGTGATGATAAAAATGATAGAACTGAATTTTTCAATAATGTATCAATGGAAATAACAAAGCCAGTAAATGTAGCATCTTTAAACATTGACAAAGAGAATTTAAAATTCGACGAATCAAAGGTGTCGAAGGATGATAAAACTATGCTCTTCCATAATTTATCCATAGAAATGACTACAGCGGTGTCGACAAGAAACCAAAAAGAAATTACTTGTAAATCAATATTTGAAGAGAGTATATCTGGAGAAAAGGATATAAATAATTCAACCTGCTTTAACGAAGGAACCAAATTGTTGTGTAAATCCATGGAGTTTACCGAAGTTGTCCCGATTCCTTTGCACGATGAGAAAACGTGTAATACTACTAATACTCCCCACACTACACAGTCCACATCATTTTCCCAAACGTTGTCGAAAACAGTATCATTACCCACTGAAAATTCCGCGAGAATAGTACTCCAAACTGATGCACTTCCAAATGAAATAATTCAAGATATATCAATGGAAATTACTGCTGCAGTACCATCGACATTACATCTTACACAAGACGCGGAAGTACATAAAACAGAGAATTTAATCATTTCTACAAATGATCAAGTCCAACATCTAGTGGCAAATAATAATCTAAGAAATTCACAGAAAAATGTAACAAAAGAAAATTTTACAGTTTCAAGAGAAATTGTGGAAATACAAAATAGTCAATACAATGAATTGTCTAATATTTTCGTTATTCAGTCTTCACGGGATAATTTGGATCACTCTTTAAATGCAAACTTGGAAAAAACCAGCGATAAAAAAAGAATGTCTGATGAAAATGAAATATTACATTCAAAAAGAGTTCGTGGTTCTTTTAGTTTAGAAGTTCAGTCTTCTCAGGAAAATGATGTACATTCACTTCCAAGTACTAGCGCTAACTGTGTAAATAATATTGAACGTAATGATTGTTTTGTAAAAGATATAATGGATCATACGGAGTTATCGGACCTAAATCCTCTTAGGGATAGTCTAAATGAGATTAGTGAATATAGTTTCTTAAGGAAAAGTTTGCCATATCCAGAAAACAGTTTTGTAGAGCTGCAGTCGATTAAACCACCATCGTTCGTATGTTTAGACAGCGAGGAAGAAAATTCTTCCCGCGAAATTCAACAGAAACTTCAGTCATCGACCATCACTAACCGATTAATAATAAATAATGTAATAAAATGCAGCCTAATAAATTCGAGGGAAAACGTCGCAGATGATTATGTCGCAATTTTAACTGAAAAAGAGGAGTCAATAAATATTGAGAACAATCAAATAGAAGATTGTCACAAAAGCACTATATTAGATAAAACTGAAGATAATCAGGAAATTGATTGCCAGGCCAACACAAAGACAATTGTTAACGATGATCGATTTAATAAATTAAATTGTACAACAAAGAATATTAATGAAGAAAGCATATTATCAATGAATAAGAAGGCTGTACAAGATATTAACCATTGTACATCATTAATTATCAAAGAAAAAGTAATAGATGAAGACCAAGTAGATCAAAGAGAATGTATCCGAAAAAGGGTAAACGAAGATGTAAAGCTGCAGAATAATATTAAAAAGAAAGGACGGTTCTCGGATGAAAAAAGACAGGAGACAGAGAAATGCAATGATCATCTCGAAGGCACAGGAGCAGTAATCGAAGATCAAATAGATCCTGACGAATGTAGAAAAAATTTGATTGATGAAGTGAAAGGTACAGAACAAAAAGACGAATGTGCAACAGAAGAACTTGTAACGGCACATTTTAGTACAATTAAGGACATTAGAAATGAATCTTTAACCGAACAAGATCCCTTTTTAAAATTATTGCAAAAATTAGAAACGCATGCTACAAGGTACATATATGTTTTTATTATATTTTATTACATTTATATTTTACTTTTGCGAAAGGAACTCTAAAGAGAGCTAATATTATTTTGTTATAGTGGATATTGCATTGTGGACTATACGATATACTATAAGAACATCGCTAAAAAAATAATCGTTTTTGGTTTTATATCAAATTCATTATTGATAGTGACACACTTATCATATGATTTTAATGACTTCGAGAATAATTTGCTTAAAGAAATCAAAATTATTTCCCGTATTTCAGGTAATTATACAGATATCAATTAAAAGATAAAATTTTACAATATTTTAATTTTATATCTTTTAATGGCAGATGATGCAGATGTACTAATAAAGATAGTTCACAAATTAATTCTGGAGAAAGTAAACACGGAAATACTTACGAATTTGTATAGAACTCATCAAGACATTCTTCCGATGCTAAATTATATTTCGCAAAATGTGAAACTAGCGATGGATTTCATGTTCGATTTAAGGCGTTTGGATGATCTAAACTTAATGGAGATTGTTGACGACAAGTAATAATACATCAAATCATACTAAATGTGACACTTTTATTTAAAATATATTTATGATCAATACATCGATTTGTCGAAATTCTGTAAAATCTATTTATTTCAGAATTTCATTCGTCTCTCGAAGCAAACGGATGGATATTATATTGAACGTTACGATTAAAGTGAAACCATTTGATAAACTCACTCCGAATGATATCAACCTTCGTTGTCTACTGGGTAGAATAAAGTAAGTTCACAGAAAGATAATTTGAATAATAGTTGATAAATTCGATAAAATTTTTTTTTCTCTTTTTTTTGCAGAGAAACAGACATTAAAAACTTAATAAAAAATGTAAAAAGAGATCATAAATTCCTACGGAGGTATATGAACGATGTCAAAGATTATATTGATATAATGGAAGAGACTTTCAAATAATTTATCGAGAATCGAAAATAAAAAAAAATCTGGTTATGTCATTGTTTTTTTCGCAATCAAATTAGAAATAGAATAATTAAATTTTCTTTAATCATTAATATTCGTAAATAATCGCGCAATCGTTCACATTCGAAATATATTCGATGCCATAATAGCCAGTATTAAATTTTTTACTTTTATACTAGTACTAGTAATAAACTAGTGTATGTGTAAGTTGCATAATAGAAATACAATGTAAATAAATATAAAATATTTTTTATAAATTGTTTAATATAATACATAATAAAATTAATAATAAGAAAAAGCATAGAATATGCATAATTGTATAAGTATTATTATTATATTAATATTTTAATTTTCTCATACTTATGTTTACAACTCCTTGATCAGTTAAATTTTTTTTTAATTATATAATGCACTTTCATATTATACTATAACGTAATTGTATACGTGAGCGCACATAAAATTGCAAGACACAAAAGTCAATCAACTAGTTCCAATGCAGCCGGTCCAGAGAGCGCAGCTTTTTGTGCAAGCAACCCTTAGATAGTGTGCGAACGAACGTCTTTCATACGACTGGAATCAGAGCAAGACTCTATCGTGATCTTGAAAAACACTGTTACAATCAAGTGATATAATAACGAACTTTGATCGTGGAATTGATTAATATGAAACTGCAAAAATGACTTTATTACAGTTATCATTTTCATTTCGATGTCGATTAATATTCTCTAAAATCAATTACATTCAATTTTTTATTCCCTTTTTTTAGTCAAATTATAATCTTGTTTTATGTGAGCCCGATATTAAAAATGAGACAATATTAATTTAATAAGAATCGTATAAAATGTGTTTTAACTCGGATATTATTAATTCTTAAAATATCTAACAAGATTAAATTCCTTATATGAGAATCGCTTTTTTTTTTCCTGGCGTTTATTGTACGAAACTTTCAATCAGACTATCGCAGCTATTACTTCATTTTTCTACGATACGTATAAAGAACTTTTGCCAACTTTTATTAAAGATTTTAATTAAGAAAATTTTTATGAAGTTACAAGAATTAATTTCGCAATAAATATTAAATCTTTATTCATTAGAGATTTTAATTAAGAAAATTCTTATGAAGTTACAAGAATTAATTTCGCCATAAATATTAAATTTTTACGTTAATTATTTTAGATGCAATATTCGATTTCTGGCATGTTATAAACATCTCGAGATCTTGTTAAAGAAGTTGGACTTTCTTTCACCGCGACTATGCCAGTCTCTTGCTGCAGCGTGGGCGTAGAGGCCCGGTTTTACGTGATTTCGTAATGACGACGGCAAACAGATTTCCAGTATCAAAAGGCATTTCGTGAGGATCTCGAAGACCTTCGGAGCCCCCTACCATCCCACCTACTCTCTCTTTTTTTTCTCTTTCTCACCGGCTTCTGCTTCATCTTCTCTCGTGCATCTCGAAAACAGTACATGCGAAGATCATTTGATGTTACTTTTCATATCGCGGATACATTAATAATTATAGACGTGTTATTTCGTGGAAGTGGAAAGTACAGGGATATCGACAAGCCACAAAGCCACGTTTCCTCGTTAGATAAATTAAAAAATTAAGAATTTCTTAACTTTTCCTTTTAATCAATCAAGTTGATCGACGTCTTTATATTAGAATGTGAGGCAGAGTTTTTTTCTATTCCAAAGTTTAAGATTTTCGAAATTTTTTTATTAGAAAAAACGTCGGTCCGTTATTCAGTACGTTTAATAGGAGTTTTTCTTTCTCCAGTGGTTCACACAGTATCGTCGTCGTTTATCATTTTCGTTTCATCGTTTTTTCTCAAATCGTGGTCAATCGTGGTTGTGTTGTTAATTGTGACGATACCTGCTCCAACTCTGGTGGAGAGCCGGTACGGTCGAGAGCGCGACTATGGCAAGTGGGCGTAAGGGCCGGGAGAGAGAACGTCGTCTCGTGTTCCATACATGGCTATGCTATGTGGAAACCAAGAGACAGAGAGACGGACGGACCGACCGATGGGGACCGGGGGAGTCCCCACCGTGTGGACGGTGGAGGCGACGTTTTCTCGTCTCTCGAAGCCGTTTGCCGAGCATGCTGATCTTGACGCATAGTGCTTCGCAGCACGTATATCGTATACGATCATTCTAGTATTATTGTTCGAGTATTCGTGTAATTCGCGCGTTTCCTTCGAAGATGCGGTACCCATTTTCCACATGATTCGTCAAGAGTTCGCAGCCGACGAATTACGTGTATATGTGTGACAGTGTACATATATCCTACATAAACGGTATAAACGAAATTTCAACGGTCACTATTGGATGTTGAAAATTGTGTTATCATTAGCGCAGATTCCTCGAAAAGATTTCATGCATAATTATGCGGCGATATCGCGAGGGATAAAATATACTAACTGAGCACAGTGATCAGAGCCAAGTTTTAATTGAAATACCGCGCCAAACAGGAACATAAGGAAGAACTCGCAGAATCTCGAAGAAAGCCGGATAATATGATATCGGGAAACATTCGAATCTTTGAGGATTATTCTTCATTAATATAGTAATGATCGCGATATGCATTCGCCAACACTTGACCGGCGTGGGTGCTACTGGGTTCCTCCTCCGCTTTGAGACCGAGGTCAGATGTGGGAGGGTGTAAGGGTTGGCAACACGCTCGCAAGACTGACACATTATACATTAGAGGTATTATGATGCATATTCTCTCTTTAGCATTCTCTATTATAATCTCTATTATAATCCACAAGAATATATTTAAATAAAATGTTTCCATCTTTTCTGTAGCAGACACTTTCTATAAAACAACAGACATTTTATATTTATATATACTATGGGCTGTTATCTCGTAATATAAGAATACAAATATTTGCAATATGAATACATTTTTTGTATTGAGCGAAATTTTTGCTCATATATACATACATACATTAAAATCCCAAGACAAATTCGTCATCATCTTTTTGTGTCCAATCGTGAATTTTCTTTTTACAATTCTTTGTTTCTTCTGCCAAGTGAGATGCGTTTTTCAAATTTATCAATATTCTGTACCATCTCCCTCGTAGGATGTCGATATAACAATATCTCGTTTATAAATTCTATCGGACTTAACGGATTGGATTTAAGAGTAATTCTTCGGCGCAGCGACAGCACCTTTTCTACGGCTTGCCGGATAAAATCCAAAGGAATTCCGATGGATATTTTGGCCAAACAGGAGACATCAATGTCGCGATCGACACCGTGATATTTCATCAGTAGATTCTTATAGTACATATAAAGCGTATTGTAATCGGTGGTAGGCACCATTATAAATTTATCATAGAACGTGATGAAAGCGGCTGTCGCCTTATGAGGTCCTTCGGACAGCGAGAGAAATAGTATCTGTTAAATATGAATTTGTTATATAAATAATAATTAATATAAGTTTTCATTTATGTGTGCTGGATATTCTCTCGTAGTGCAATGTTTTAATAAATCTTGTAATTTACATTTTAACTCTTTACACAAATTTAAATTAAAGTTAAAATAAAATACGTCAATTTTTCAAATGAATATTAATCTGCCTTTTACAATATTGCACCAGTGAGTAACAGTATCTGTCCGGAATGTTCAACACTCTAAATCCTACGTTAACTCGCCGCCACCTACGTCCTCATACGGCGACCATATATACAGGTAGGAGGTGTTTCATTGATGAGCAACCTCGAGCGATCGAGATGAGAGATTTGAACGACGGGAGGAAAAAGAGAAAGAGAGAGAGAGAGTCCCCCAGCTAGTGTATGTGAACGAAGTGGCGGCGATTCATTCATATTGAAGAAAGATCTCAAACCGGAATAATAAGAATTTTACAAAGTGGGCGTTGCGTGATTGCGTACGCTTTGATACAGTCCAATTTAGGAGTACTACTCTGCGTTCTCACGATATATATTTCTAATGCCCAAGAATCTTTAAATATTGTAACACAAAGCACTGAGAGTATATAAATAGAACAATCGTGATATAGAAAGTAAATCATAGATATAAAAAAATAATTACTAGCAGAATAAAAAAAGATTAATTTTCTTTTTGTAACTTTACCTGGTCGCCTGGCTTAATGTCTTTTATTAGTTTAACAAAATATTTGGCGAAGCGCTTAGGTTGAAGATGTCTTTCCTCAGGTGGAACTTTTTTCAGCCAAGGTTTTTCGCCAGCATCGAGAAATATGATGGAAGGCGCGAAAACCCGAGCCACTTTAGAGATTATGTTGATGAGTCTCTGTTGCTTTTCCTTGCCCATATATTTATCTATCAAAACAGATGGTGATACGTCGAAAAGTAATGCGCCGATCTAGAAAAATTCAAAGAGATGAATACACAGAAGGAATACTTTTTAATTCATTATTATCATGGTACAAAGAAATGAAAAACTATTGCATCTCGTAACTAACATATTTTCAATATCTTTTGAAAAACATAGTTACGTGAGGAGATATAGATAAGACAATGAAAGATCACCTCTGAGCATATGGCATTGGCAAGTGCAGTCTTTCCGGTTCCCGGTAATCCATATATGCACACGGAACGCACGAGCGGTGCAACTTGATGTGTCTCCTTGGAAGTTAAAGGCAATACGCAATACTCTAAGACGAGTTGCTTTACCTCTCCAAGTCGATGTTTGTAATCTCGGAGCTCGCGACGTGCTTCGTAATTTTGATAGGAGAGATCGCCAAACCAATCGCGTAAAAAAATAGTTCGGTAGTTTCTAATGACTTTAGCTCGTAGAAGCTCGCTGAAGAGATCCTCGACAGCCACATCCTCCAAAATGTCCTTCCTTCTTTTCATTTTGATTCTGTCAGTTGTTTTTCCTACATCAATACATCACAATAATTAATTCAAATTCAAATTTTTGTTCAATGAGTGCAAAATCCTTAATTATTAGGTTCCGTCGATCACTTTGATCCATTGTTGGAATCGTGAATTTCGCCTTATCATTTGCATGATCCTTCAGTAATGCCTTGTTTAATAATTCCAGCTCGACCCTCATCAATTCGTCCACTATCCCCCTCATTTCGAGCTGCAACTCGTAACAAAGTTTCTCGGTGATTATATCCAGATATTCCTGCTGCGGATCTTTCTCGTCACGAAAACTCCAGTTTCGAATGAACTCGACGTTTGTCTCCACCAAGCAGGACAGAGCATCTGTTTGCGGCATTTTCCAACCATGAATTTCTCCTTTGATAAGCTCAGCTTTGGGAACTGGCGCCATTTTCTCAGCCGTTCTGCCTTTTTCTTTGGCTTTCTCTTTTTGTAATTTTTCTATTAAATATTCCTGCGGCGTCTTGGTCTGTCCGGTGGCAATCAGCACGCTGCCACCAAATTCCGCCGCCGGAAACACGTCGTAATGTCCTACCGTGTCGTACCAAATGACGAACCACTCACGAATCTCATCAGTGATATCCTCCATTAATCCCGGACCTCTGATTTTCAGGAGCTTTTGAGAATTATTGTTTTTTGTAAGTTTTTTGTAAGTTGTCTTTTAATCCTTCTTTTATTCTTTTTTTATTCTTTTTTTATTCTTTTTACTTTTACCTTTGTTTTGTATTTTTTTTTTATTCTTTCATGATAAATAAGAGTAGAAAATTCGCGATATAAATTAGAAATTCTGTTTGGAGAACTTACCCTTGTACGTTCGTCGCTGATTGCCTTCTTCATGCGTGCATCGAATATGGGCATTAGAGCACGTCGTCGCTGAAAGTTTTCATCGTCCTTGGCGAACGTCTTGTTGCAGCGCCAGCTTGGTATCGTCATACCCAAAGCTTCTTCGAGACGCGAAATTCGTTTTTTTGTAGCTTTTCTAGCGACATAACGCCGCCACGCGCGTTGTATCGTCGTCGCTGATTTAACGTATTTGATTCGATCTATTTTTCTCGGTATTATCTCCCCGGTCCTCACTTTCTTGTTGTAATCGTACATACGTTTCACTATGTGAAATTAGCACAAATAATTAATAGGCTGCAAATGTAAAAAAGTTAATAAATAATTAATATACTGCATGGATTATATTTCTTTCTCTTTCACACACGAGTGTTCCGTTTTTTATTTCATTTTATTATAATGAAATTATTTATTTATTTTTGCAAGTACCATCTGTGCCATAGCAGCGTCCCTTTCTGGCTCTCTCGTGGCTCTGTATCAATAATATCGCGTTACGCATAGTTCTTTCAGCGGCAAGTTTCGCTTCTCGGGCGGCTTTTTCCTCTGGTGATTCGCGGACTAATTCTACTTTCGTCGTGGGTTGTGCGGGGCGCACTCTTCTTCGAGCGGCGCGCGTCTTTAACGTCTCATCCTCCACCTCGGGCAAACTCTCGATGTGGATCTGTGAAAGACTACGCTCTCTCATCTTTGGTGCTGGATAATTAAATTTACAAATTTTATCTAAACTTTCAAATTGAATTTTTTAACATAAATTATATTTATTTCAATATCGTAATAAAAGGTTTATTATCAATAAGAAAAATTAATTGCGAACCTTTGTCAAAACTCTCCATTAATTCTTGAATAAATTTTCTGCGTTCCTCTACACGTTCTCGGCCAGACACCGATGCAAACAACTCGACGTCATCCGGCGTGAATTTCATTTGAATTAAAATATCGTCAGGCCATCTGTGCGTAGATAATATTTCTTTATAAATTGTAATTGAATGAGCAAACGAAAACCTGATAATCCGTACAATCCAGTTAAAAACGTACTGATAATCCGTATAATCCAGCTTGACAATTTCCTGTTTATATTCTAGCATTCGTCCAATAGCGCAATCTAACATCTTTTTAATTAATTCCCGTTTCTGCGTCTGGACCATTTGATCGTAACACGTGATGAGTCCTCTTACAATATTTTGGTATCTATACGTATTAATTCAATTGATCAATCATTTCAGTGCAAATGGTTAATATAGTATCATTCTTTATATTATAATTAATTAATATTTAAATTTTTCTTTACATACACACATACGCAAGGTGTTTTTACAAAGTTTGATTTGTGCACGTACCTCAGATACATAGACAACGCTGAATTTAAAGCATTTCTTTTATTTAACGATGCATTTTTTTGCAATCCTCGTTCGAGTTCTAACAGCTTTTGCAAATCGTTTCTCGTGATAAGCCATAACTCGTTGTAATAAACGTGAGACATCGACTTTAAATATGATTTTCATGGATATGGATTTTGTAGAATTTTGTTCTCTTTTTATCCTCGCAATTTGGAACTTGTCATTTTTAAATCGTGGTTATCAATGATGGACGTTTAAGAATTTGCGTTTGTCAACTAAAAACAAAATCGAAATTTTATTTGCAGTATTACTTTATATTGTCAAATAGAGAAATATTTTCTGTATGGCAGATGATCGTAAATGCAATATATATACCTATCAAATATTTCTTTTCAGAATGCCGAAATTATTTTGGGACCTATTCGCTTTAACATTGATAATGACGGCGTCATGTCTCGACGCAGAGGACAATGTCACAATGACAATAGAGATGTCTACATTGATGGCAACATTGACAACAAGTACATCCATACCGACGATCACCGAAGAAAATGCATTGTCGTCGTCGGTGACTGTGACAACGCAAGACGATGGCATCCCGAAAAATCTGTCCCACGTATCACCATCACCATTGCCGTCGCCATCGCCGTCTTCGCTGTCGTCTTTCTCCGATACTGCGTGGGAATGTCCGAATATCACAAAAGCAGGCGTGGAGTGTTCTTGTGACTTTCCACATACGCTCAGATGTACCGGCGATAGAACGGCACTGCAGGTAATTACGACAAACGATATAAGTATTGCCATCATACATACATCAATATACGTAATAAATACTATTTTCATAGGCGTGGCAAAATTAATTAGTTCCATTTTTTAGTCTTGTGAATTTTTCTCGAGACTAAATTTTAAAAAAAGTAACAAAATACAGGAAGATGCAGAATTGTAAGCTCAATATTATACGCTCTAATGTTTGCATCACAATCGAGGTCGTTACTTTTTAAGCAACGACAGCAACGATCAAGAAAAGCGTGGGTGGTATAGATTGCCAATGAAATACAAGTCGTATACATATATTATTCAAGAGTCCATTGTGCCCGCTTCTCTTTTCGTCCCTTCCCCTCTTGTCACTTGCCTGCTTGATCTTCCTTATTTCATGTTGCTTGCTGCATCCGTCATTTTTATATATTGATAATGAGTATTCTATTATCAATTGCACTTTTTTTGCATAGTGATTTTTTTAAACTTATAATTTTTATACCCCTTGAAAGAATAGACCGCCATAAAAACAAAAGATGTATCAGTCTGTAAATTTGGAGATAAACGATATTTAGAAAGAATAAAGAAATTATTATTATTATCTCTATTGTTCTTTTTAGACAATCAGCGAACATTTAAAGCATAGTCAACCGGACACAATATCATTATTGGATGTGACCGTGACAGGGATTTCCGTATTACCGGCATATTTCCTCGAAGATGTGGCACTTCATGGATTAGTCGTCTCCACCGGCGAGTTGCGACACGTTCACGAAAACGCGTTTACCGCCCTGGCGCGACCGTTACAAGCGTTAGGGCTGCCCAGCAATCTCCTGGATTCAGTTCCCACGATCGCGCTATCACATCTGGTCGGTCTGGACCGATTGGATTTATCTCACAACAAATTGAAGACATTAGAAGCGGACTCGTTCAAGGTATTATTTGATTGCGAGAAATTTGCGAAATAAGATGTTATATATATATATAAAAGTAGTTTTAAGAAAGTCGATTAAAGAGTAACGAAATATATTCTCTTTCAGGGACTGTCAAATTTGACTTATCTAGACTTGTGCGACAATCTGCTGTCACAATTGTCGCCGCAGGTTTTTTTGACATTGCCGGCATTGCGTTCGCTAAGAATGCGTGGAAATCACCTGAGTGTTTCTGCGCTGTCTGCGTTGAGAGATCTGAAGCGCTTGGAAGAACTAGATTTATCGAACAATCGACTGCTGGGCCCGATGGGTCCAAATCTATTGCCACAAATGCCCAAACTACATTTTCTTACAGTTTCAGAAAACGGTCTCGTCAATGTTCAGCAGGGAGCTCTCATGGGTCTGAGAAATCTCACTTATCTGAGTTTGAGTCACAATCAAGTAAGTGTTGGTTAAAAATTAGATTTAAATTAGAAAAATCTTGTTTAAAATAATATAAAAAAAGATTAGTTACTTTGAAATTATTTCAAGTCATTGTTAACGTTAATGTTCTGATTCGCAGATTGACGTGTTAGAGGATCATTCATTTAAGTACCTGTCGACTTTAACACGACTGGACCTGGCGAACAATCGCATCGTCGCTGTGTCTAGTGCTTCCTTGGCCCATTTAGAAAAATTAATTACTTTAGATTTAACGCACAATTTTCTACGTGCGTTGACGGCTGATCTGATAGTGCCATTGAAGAGTTTACAAGATCTACGATTAGATGACAATGACATCACAATTGTGGCGAACGATGTGCTAACGTCAAAACAGCGCCTCAAGAGACTCTCTCTCGCCGACAATCCGTTAAATTGTGATTGCACCTTACTGGAGTTTGCTAATTGGCTAGCAAACTCCAGCCTTGTGGAAGAAGATAAGTCATCGGCAGTGTGTGCGACACCGCCTGCTTTGGAGAACGGTATCCTGACGCAAGTACCGCCGGGCAGTTTGCTTTGCGGCGAGCCGACACCGTCCATGGTGACTCGAGAACCTCCGACTGCAGGTGCACAGCTGAGTCTCAAAGAATTTCGCTACGACGAGTCGACTGGCATCAATTTATTATGGCATGTGGAGCAGTGTGCCGAACGTTACACTTGCGATTCGCTTATCGTCTATGAAACAATTGGCGACAGTGAGATCCAAACGGAGTCCAGCCCGCTGCATTGTGATTCCCGAATGATGAGAGATCCCTGTATCCTGCCAGTCACCATACCAGCCTCTCTACACCTGCAATTAGGTCACAAGTATCGTTATTGTGTAGTTTTGTTAGTACCCACTGTCTACGACGACGTGTCTCTCGGTCTCGGTTGTAGCGACGTCATCGTTTTAGAAAAGACTCGAGTCTCGACGGAAGATCGGTATAACGCGAAAGAAGGAGATTCTCATTCTCCAACGTCCACGCAGACATCTCTTGACTCATATTCACGAATCACCGGCGTTCATGTAAACGTATCTGATAAGAGCTATTTGCATATCAACGTACTTCTCTCCAGAACAAAGGACATGGATTTATCATCGACATGCCAACTGTCCATTTTTGTATTCGACGAGGTCACGGTGGTGCATCGACAGAGACTCAATTGTAGCGCCGCATCCGTCATCACCGACGTACAAGTATCGTTGCCGGGTTATTACAGAGTGTGCGCCAGCTTGGATGAATTTATCAACATTATCGTTATGTCTAGCAACTTGGCGGACGATCGCGAGAGATTCCGTTGCGTTGAATTAGTCGAACAGGGCTACAGCAAGCGAAACGTCGAGGTATTTATCATTATGGCCGTGATCGCTGCTACCGGTGTTCTTCTTGTTATCCTTGCCGTGCTCGGTAGAAATCTCGCAAGACGTCTGCGACATCCGAGGATACAGGCGCAATGCTTCCTGCCGGCCCAGGAATTCGAAATTACCCATAAAGCTCATTATATCAAACTCCTGGCAACGACAAAAGTTTAACGGATATTGGTGATAAATTCAATATTATTTTTAGAATTCTCTCTCAAGAATCAGAATACAAGAATTCAGAAATATGAATAGAAATATAAAAGCAAAACTTACACATTCTCTCCGGTGAAATACTGAGGTAAAGGAGTATATAACTTATTATTCTATATTTCTATATTTTACAAATTGCGTTCTTTTGTCTTTCCAGATAAGAATGTGAAGCAAAAACTAATTTTAGCGTATACTTAGGTGTTTATTATTTTATATTTTTAATTATATATGTTCAAGTTAATTACTTTTAATTCTGAAATGATAATAAATACAATTCATTCAAGTTTTGTATGTATGAAAGTTTTTAATTTTGCCAAAAATTTTGGAAGATGATAGAAGATGTAAGTTTTGTTTTCATATGCTTCAAATGTATTCTCCAAGATTGATCTAAATAAATATATGTGTATAATATGCAGTATAATAGGTTAATCTATGGGAATATTTATTGTAAAAAGTATTGAGAGATTCTTTAACATTTAAACACATTTCAAAATTAATGAATTATTTTTCACAAAATTTTCATTATTATATCTTAATATATTTTTATATATATTTAATAATTTAATATAGATTATATAATATATATATGTATATATAGGCGCACATACATCAAGTGTCTAAACTTGAGGCAAGGTCCGAAATTATATCTTCTCATTTTGTAATATAACTATACACATATATATATATACACTAAGTAAATCTCTATTGGTGTTACATGCTGTAAATATGTTTTATTTTATATGCTCATTTTTAATATCTGCAAACACATCGTGTCGTGTACAGTAATAAATATATATATATATATAATCATTACTAGCTATTATATTATTATATCTAGTATCGAGTTATTTCGTTTTGTTTACTAAATATCGATCGAGAGATGCAAGATGAATATGCTTCTCATAGCAAATGAGAGTATAAATAAATGTTTGTTTAATATATCTTTGTGTCATCTTTTTCATTCCTTTCGATAAATGAAGGAGAAAATATCAATTTAAGTATATATATTACCTCAATAAGCTAGATTTCAAACCTAAAAATACGCTACATATCGACATTACGATTAGGTTAGGACAAGTTGTCTCCGTAAGCTTTACGCAGAAATTTAGAAAATAAACATGTAGCGTCATCTTTGAGAGAATGGTTCAAACATTAAGTTAACCGACAGCTAGTAAATACAACCATCACGATTACCAACGTTAAAAACTACATATAATTATATAAGATATAATATAAACGGCACGTGACTTCGGCATTTCGGTAACCTAACCAGTATTATTTGTTTACGCAGGTTATGGCAAATTATTTGATACATTTCTAAAAGAACCTTTTTGTTTATCTGCAGTATTAAAATTTTTTGCTGCCATTACAAGTGCCTTATCAAAATAATTTCAAGAAATATTATACAGTAATAAACATTGTCGAGTGAATTTTTTTACTTTATATTGTCAAATTGTACAATTACGATGGACAAGAACGACAAATTGCAAATATTAAAAAATGCTATAAAAAGTTATCCCGACTTTCCCGAGCCTGGAATTATTTTCCGGTAAGAATTAGAGTAGTTACACATGTTAAAAGATCAAGCACCATTTTAATTTTATAATGATTCCTACTTTCTATTATATCATGTAAATTATTAATTTTCAGAGATATATTTGGTGTGTTTCACAATATCGTAGCATTACGAGCAATGAAAGATTTAATTGTGGAGCACATTTTATTCCTTGAAGTCGATTTAATTGTAGGATTAGATTCACGTGGCTTCCTTTTTGGTCCTATAATTTGCATGGAATTGGGCAAGCCTTTTTTACCTATTAGAAAAAAGGGTAAACTTCCAGGCAAAGTTACTCAACAGAAATACGTATTGGAATATGGAGAGGTATAACTAAAATATTAAGGCAAGACTGAAATATTGATTATTGTCACTTCCTATGTATAAATAAATTTTCTTCTATTTCTACAGGCTACATTTGAATTACAAACAGAATTCATCAAAAAAGATATCAGAGTGCTAATTGTCGATGATTTACTGGCAACTGGAGGTAAAATAAAATTATATTACAATGAATATACCAATAAAGGTCAACAAAATATCAATAAAAATATATTATTTAAAGGTACCATGGCTGCAGCAGTGCAATTACTAAAATCAGTAGGTGCTGATGTAATTGAATGCTTGGTAATAATGGAATTGACTTTATTGAAGGGTCGAGATAAGCTAGGTGCTCCCGTTCATTCCTTCATACAATATGATCATTAATAAATAATTTGTAATATTTGCAAGTACAAATACTTGGTTTATAGACAAAATCAAATATATAAAATTGTATGCTTTTAACAATGCAATAAGATGCATTAATATTATACATTCCACATTAAAATAAAATATTTTTCTATACATGCATGTACATATACAATATATCCGTGCATGTAGTTTCTTATATTTTGTATATTATAATGTAAAAATAGTGATTTGTAAAAATTTACAAATAATTTTCGAGAAAAAAATAAACGACAAATTAAAATATATTATTTCTATTGTGCGATAATTATATTAAAATATATTATTTCGCTTATAAACTTAGTTGCTTTTACATTACAAAAGTATATTCTACTAATTAATATCCGTCTTTGATCTATGAAATCTCAGTAAATCCAAGAAACTTTGCACTTCATACTCGAGCATTGTTACATCTTGTTGCAATTTTTTATAATTTTTTGAATCAGCAGCTTCATAATTCGAAATTATATCTTCCACAAGCTTGCATTTATTACATTCTTGTTTCCTTCCAGATAGTGAATCAGAATCTTTATACAAATGATAACAGAACTTTTCTTTTTCTGTATTTGGTAGTAAGCTGTGCCATTTCCAATTTAAATTATTAACATGTTCTTGAAAGCATTTTTGTACCTCTGAAATGTAAGTAATCAATTGTTTCATTCCAATATTTATAATTTTTCTAAATTAAAGAAATTAGTGAGATTAGAATATTATTACGAAAAGCTTTAAGATATTAGAGAAAGGAATATAAATGGAAATTTAATATATTTTACCATTTATTCTTGTTTCATGAATTTGCTTTGCAAAAGCCTCAGTCTCTGCATGTAATCTTCTCTTTTCAAAATCTGCAACCTTACAATTATATTCTTGCAAACTTTGCTCTTGCATTTTTAATTGTCTCAAATCTGCAATGCTGAGATTTTCAGTAAGAAATTTTGGATATTCTTTTGATATAAACCAAATATAAGGTCCACTATGATTTAATTGCAATAGTTTATCCCTGAAATAATAATTTTCCGAACTTGTGTAATTAATTTTTACGATATTATAGCGTCTTGCACTATTACCTTAGATAACAATTAGGATGCATTCGTTTTGGTATCTCCTGATCTAGCTTCCTCGCAATCTTTAACAAATCCTTGGCTCTGACATGACTTTGAGTGTTATAAAACACTTTGATATCTCCCGATGACTTTATTAAAGAGATAATATTTTCTCTCGAAAAAATATTATACGCAACGACACACATCAGTAGCAGATAAGGTTTTTGAAAAGATATCAAATGATCCCACAAAATCAGCCACTCGTCTCCCGACAGTACTTCGCTCATTGTAGTTTGAAGTAACGGCCATGCATATTCGCTACTTGTAATTCCATGTTCGCAAAAGACGTTCAATAATGTAGGATCAGCTTCCAGGAGAATATTCTCAATAATCCCCAAAATATTCAATGGTGGCAAAGGATGATATTCAAACCACTTTTGGCAATAGTTTAGTAGTATACTTAAAATCAACTCAAAGGCAAGTAAGGGGTCTTTCTAAAACAAATAAATATGTCTTAGTATGTCTTCTATAAACCAAACAAAATATCCGTTTGAAAATAAAATAAGTGGATATACCTGAAATACCATGAGAAATGGAAAAATTAAGTTGGGAAGAAACGGACTCTGTATTAGCAGAGGACACCATTGCAGCAAGCAATCTGTCGTCATGGCCAACAGCGATGCTTTGCTTTTGTCTGCCAAGGGAAGATTTCTTAAGGTATTCAATGCAAATCTCCCACGCGTTACCTTACTTGCCAAGGCAACATAAGCGTTTTTATTAGCTGGTAATTTTAAAATAGTGGACCAAATTAATGTACGATATTTCTCTGGATACTCTCCGAATTCTTTCAAAATAGGCATTAGTCGTTCCATTTTTAATTCCTGCTTCATGCTTCGTCTAACGTACTCCAAATGATCATTTACTTTGTGCGCATGTACTCTATATGGTTTTAACAATCTGTTAAATTGAAAACATTTTTTCGAAATTACTTTGTCCGTGTGCATTATGTTTAAACATCCTTCCTGATCTATATACGCTATATATCTACCAGTGGGTGACATTGCAAATTTCTTAATTCTGTCGATAGGGACAGCTGTCTCAAGAAAAGTTAATGCATTTATATCACAAAATTGAAGAGTACATTTCGCGGATAGAAATGCAAGGATTTTATTTGCTCCACCGTCTAATGGACATGGAACGACAGCTAATTGTTTTGCCTCAACAAAATTATTAGGCAAACATAGTTTTCTTAATAAACTCCAATCGTATGTATTAAGAATGCTTATGTTTCTCGTACCGCCCATTATCATAGCTCTTCCATCTCTTGTGAAGATAAAATCTTTGATGTAACGTATACCGAATATCTTTGCATCGATTTTGGTATCCTTATGCAACTGTCGTAACGTCCAAGTCTGCATAGTGTCATTGTGATATAGCACGACGATGTGACCCACATTTGAGAAGGCAGCTTTCTTGACAGCGTTCTGTATCCTAACTTTTAACTGATGAGCTTTATTGTAAGATCTCAGATCCCATATTATTACCTCATTTCGAGAACTCGTTAGACAATAATTTTTATAAAAGGAAACGTGTGTCGGTGCCAATTTGTGACCGGATAATAAAGAAAACTCATTGACGTCCGTATGAAGCTTCCAAATCTTTATGTCACCACTTTCGAGTCCTATCAGTATCTCCTCTGTACATACAGGATTAAATGCCAGAAGGGTAGGTCGTCCGATTTTGCACAGTATTTTGTATATCGGAACATCCCCAAGCAACTCGATGTAATGTAAATATCCTTTAGTATCTACCGCAATCAGGCATTCTTCGTCATGATCGAAAGACATTTGTATAAAATTGAGTCTAGCTGATAGACTACAATGTTCCTTTTTGACGATTTTAGGTGCATATTTGTAACTGTCGTTACTCTTAATTAACTTATTCCAGCCACTATTGTACATTGTAATAGAAGTACATAATCATAAACATGAACAAAAGTTAAACAGAATTATTATCTCTAGATTTTTTTTTAACGTATCTTATATTTCTGTTTACTATTATATTGTTAATTTTTCATTTTCAATCATGCAAAATAACATTTGTCTCGGATTTAATGTAATATTTATATAAATAAAACACATTTTCTACCCAATATTTAACAATAATCCAGTTGTGTCAGTAGCGTCAAATGATGGCTTTTAGAGGTTAGACGCAGATTGTATTATTCTCTGATTGTGTGTGCAGTGTGTACATGTACCGCTTGTCACATGTGTAGCAATGTGTAAGAGTCATAATATAAGTTCCGAAACTCGTCGAAAAATTGTATTTAATGAGTGTGTATACACACACATACATATTTATATACATATATGTACTACATTCGTCAATAATGAAGAAAGTTTTGGTTACCTCAAATAATAGAAGATAAATTTAATTATTAAATAATAGAGATATCGATCTACATGCGCATATTTTATTTCCAAAAAAGCGCAAAATTGATTGACTAACGTCGTAGTTAATCCTTTTTCATCCGTGTTTACTTGTGTAATGTAAAAGCATATGAGAGAGGCATAAAATGAGTTTGGCGAGTGCCTTCTCATTGCACGTGATATTCTATGGTTTTTTGACGATGATAGTCTCGTATCAATTTAATCGCCTAAAAGTCTTTTTTTATGTGAATTCTCTCGAATCTCGTAACCAACAGATTATCTACTTATAATGGTGAGAAATGCTTCAACTATGTAAATTGCTAACTTGTTATTTTTTATTGATCACATGTGTACATCATACTTCGGATTTTGTAAGCGCATGATGAGGAATGTTTATGTCAAGAATAATACATATTTTTATGTCTCTCAGTGTCTCGAATCTTTTCAAAATTTCTTGCTGAGCTTTATCATTCGCATAGTACCTAAATATAACATAATATTGTATTATATGTTGTACTTCACTTCTAATTCATAACGCTATGAAAATCTTTGCAGTCTGTTGCTGAATTTTTAAAAGGCCTTCCGTCACACGATGAAAATAATTTTGCAAATTTTCATACTGATAACGGAAATCGGACATGTGTGAAGAGACCATCAGTCTATCTTCCTACTAAGGATTATCCTTCCGAACAAAGTCAGTACATTATAGTGTAATACGCATGATATTTTAATACACATTAGCTAATTTCTTTATGTTTACAGTTATAGTTACTGAGAAGACCACTATTTTATTGAGGTATCTTCATCAACAATGGGATAAAAAGGTAAAGAGCAGTTAGAACATATATATGTATATATACTGCTGCAAATGATAAGACACTATATATTTATTAGAATTCAAGTTTGCATGTATATTAAATAGTATAACATAAATACAAATATTATTTTATAATAACATTTATGTAAAATAAATTGTTGACGCAGCCAATTTTTAATTTGATGAAAATTGTGGATTCTGAGTTGGCCATATTATAAGATTTTTTCCTTGAAAAGCAAGAATATATCGTAATTAAATAAAACTAGTATTATTTTCGTATTAATAATGAATAGACACCTGCCTTTATTCTAAAGCTTACCTTGATCATTTTATCAGATAAATTCATACTTCACTGTTTGACATATTTGACATATTTGACAACAATATTGATTCTCGGATCTTTATAGTATACATAAAATTGTAACTTTCAATTTACTAACATTAATATTGCTTTCTATTTTGTATATAGCTTGTAAGTTTTTCACACACATTTTCTATAAAATTTATGTGCTCTTTAAAACAATTTGTTATTCTTGCAGTATAACCAGCTAATATCATTGTGCCTGAAAATGTATAATTTTCTTATTACAGTTTTGAGAATTGATTCTATTGATTAATTTATTTCAAATAATTAATATTAAGTTCTAGTCAATACCTGTTTATAGCATTCTAGATTTTTTATCATATTTTCAACTCAAAATCCTTTCTTCTTTTCAGAGATTGTAAAAATAATATTTTTAATTAATTAGAACTATCGAAATTTATATTTTTTTTATTAGTGAATATATTATATCTACATTTTTTTCCGGTGAAGATAACAGAATAAAATATAATGTAGTTTGTACTTTTCGCTATTTTATAACTTTTTTTTCTTATTTATGTAGAAAGTTTGAAATGACTGACACTGACTTCTCATTATATGTGCTAAATTCTTTTCTTTTAGTTTTGATATCTGTAAGACAGGTTTCTCTAGTATACTATTTTTCCTTATTAGTTTTCTTGTTTGCCTTTATTTTAAATCATGCAGGTACAAAGGCAATTGCACTGATGTATAAGTGCCTTATCATTTTTAGCCAACAGTATATTAATAATGTTACGAGTATATTGCAAAATATTTTTATTAAATAATCTTTTACGGATATTTTTAATCACAAATATAAAACTTTGTAGAATGCAGATAGAAAAAGAGAGTTCTTGTCTACCAATGGCGACTCCCAGGATGATGCCTCTACAGTACGCAGTAAAAGGCCACGTCTTGATCTGAATAACAGTCTTTGAAATATGTTACATTTTGCATACAAACATATATTCTTGGATAATTTACACATGACATAAATCAATTCATTGACGGACATATTTGGTGGTATAAGATTATACATCACTGCTTTATTTATGGAAGTAAAATGTAGCATGTTTGATCATATCTTTTAGTATTCATTTTTTTAATTTTAATTATATAAAAAAATTTTATTAAAAATCGACACGCAAGACATGATAAAATAATATGTTTTTACGTGCGTTTTTTATGCCATCTAAATTGTCATCATTATTTTAAATGTTATTTTAATTTTAATTAACGTACCAATTGTAATTGATACAGTAATTGTATTGTTTACACCGCATGTTTTCCTTCATAAGCATTATTATTTATTACAGGGAAAGATTAAATTTATTTAAAAAAGATAGCATAAATGTTGACACAATAAGTTCATTATTATTATTATTATTTCGAATTTGTAAAGCATTTATCTTGTTCTAAGACACTTGTAAATTTTTTACGCAGTATTTATTATATTAAAATTCGGTATAATGATAATAACAATTAAAATAAGAATTACATTTTAATTAATTTACAATAATAGTTATATTTACAATAATAATTATTATTATAATTGTATTAATAATGGAATTAACATTTGAAATAAATTGTTTTATATAGTTATTATAGATTTTATTTTAATTTTATTACAATATATTTATGTGTCAAGATCTCTATAAATCAAGATCAAGATCTCTATAATGAAATATCTTATCTTAATTGTATGTTATTGAACATATTAGAAATATATTTGTACAAATATTATTTTGCGATCGTTGCGATATGTATATATAATTTCTAAAAAGAAATAAATTATTACATGAAAATTTCATTTTTTTTTACATATTGACGTAAATTGAAGTAGACTTACCTAAATGACTTCGAAAAATAAAAGTTTTAATCGATGTTCTTTAATTAAGAGTTTATACTTTTAGAGAAATTTATTTTAAAAAAATTTGCGGTCAAAGTTTCGTGTAATTTCCACTTGGCGGTGCCACATGTGTGTGCAAAAATGATTTTAGAGATGCGTGCATCTCGTGTCTTCGCGCATTCTGTGCATGATGTAACGCGACATAACCAAAAAAAAAAATCTTACAAAAAATATTTATTGTTTATAGAGAGATGTGTGTATAAAGACACACACACACACACGTCGTTTAAATTGCATCAAGCTAATTCGATGGTTCGTGTTTTGAAATGGGAAATCATACTGCGTGTCAAGTAATCGCAAAATTATTGGCCCATTTACAGTAGCCCGTGATTCCATTACTAAATATAGGATTTATTTTTAGGTTGGAGCTAGTCGTAGTTTGAATCGTGAATCGGTTCCAAAATCGGATTTCTAGGAGGTTTGTAATTCGTATCAGCATAAATGCTGGTTATTTCTGGACGATATCTTGTTCTTAATTATTAAGCAAATTTTACGAGTAGTTTAAACAAATATTGATAGCAACTGTCAATTTTCTAACCAGATTTTCGTGGAACGATAGTTTTTTCTAATTCATATAGTTTTGTGTAGAAGCCAACAATTTAAGCACAATTGTTATAAATTGTTATAAATTTCACTCACTATTATATTACAATTGTAGGAATAAAAATGGCGAATGACATAATAATGAGAGGCAAAGACAGATTACAAGAGATCAGCATGAAATTGGAACAGAGTCACTTGGTGTATCTGCAAACAGACGATAGCCCTTTAAAGCTACAACAACGACATAAATTGGAAGGTATGTATTGTATATTACTAAGTCATCTAATGTAATGTCACAACCCTCTCTTTATATAATAATATTTTAACATAGAAATATATAAATTTCAGGCTTTATCAAGGAATACCTTTGTCTGGTACCCAACGAGAATAAATATGTGTTTCAAGAGACGGCAGATATTTTGCACAGATCAGCAGCAACAGTGACAGATTTCAGTGGATATAGAGCGGCAACTGCTTGGAGTGCAATTTCCTTGTATGCAGCTAATCTATTAGCTCAACCTTGGCGAAAAGAATATAGGATAGTGAGGGTAATTATGTAGAAAATATTTTATCATTTTAGTCTATGTTTCGAAATATCATTTAACAGGTATAAATTTCTTTGAATTGTCTTAGACGTACAGCGGCTATTACAAGCACGAAGTAGAGGCAAATTTAATAGGTGCCGAGTTAATGTTTGAGCAGATGGGCTATAAGCACACTGGTTTGGGTGTACTCACTTTGGAAGGACCAATCGATCCTGACAAGGTTTCAAATGTCAGTAGGGATGCTATTGTGGCTTTTGTGGAATGTCAGGTAAAATGGAAAACGAAAAAGTCAGTGCAACTGATCGATCAATTAAATAAATAACGCAATTATCCAAAAACGTATAAAGAATTGCATTTGTCGATGTCGTATAAAGTTGCCTTTAAATTGCAGATTTTAAAGCAGATCTGGGAAAGCGTGTCGCCGAAGTACACCATCTCTTGGCTGGAGGTGCTGGAGTTTCGTGAGAATCACGTTGGTACGCCAGAGCAGGCCATTCGAGCGCTGAATTATCGTTTTCTCGAAAAGGTGCATCAGAATCGTGCGAAGGTCGATAGCTGTAAGGATTACTATCCACAACAAACTGGCATAGACATCGTGCCGTTGCATCCACCTTATCATCACATTGTACATGCCAATTATAACGCCACAATGCCGTCAACCTGTCAAACAGAGTATCGGCATATCGAAAATACGACGAACATAGCAGTACCGACTAATTATCGATATTATCAACCGATTAATCATAGTTTCATCAATTGTTGCACCAGCTACGGTTGCTTGCCCTCTCATGGGAACAAGTTTTACGGTAATAGCGTGCAATCACCGAATCCATATTGCGCGACATTACCGGCATATGCGGCTCGAGTACCAACTGGAAGACTGATAGAACTTGACGTACCGTCGTCCGTGGCAAATTACGAGAAAATGCACGCTCTCCGTAAACCCATGTCCCACCGGATATCCGACTTGGACGAGGTAGACTTTTACAAACGGCAGTCGAGCGATGGAGATCATTATGAAGTTGGTAAAACTACCGATAGAAAAACGGCTAGCAGATCGAATTCCAGTGCCGGAAGGGACGGTTACGATACATGGGACTTTGTGTACAGAAATCTGGAGAGTTTAGGCTACTACAAGGATCTCGATGATCGAGACGATGTATTACAGCATAAGAAGGAGCTGGATTCTATTCGTGCCAAGCACAAGACACTCAGGCAAGTGGAAAACGAAGACAAGTTTAGTGCGCATAAGATGGAGAAGAGAAAAAGCGGCTGCAGGATCGAGGCGAACGAGATCGATTCGTCCGAAACAAACGGGAAAAATCATCAGGATATTTTGCCTTTTAAGAAGAAATCCTCGTCCTTTGACCTGTCAGATTCGAATAGATATAATACCGATGCATATAATAGAGATAAAAAGCACAACAGTCAAACTCTACCAATTCCACGCACGCACAAATCTTCGGATCAAATAGCGAAAATTGCAGATTCCTTAAAAAATTTTGATATCGCGCAAATGAATAAGCAGAAGAAGGAAGAAGAAGAGGGCGAAAAGAGATGGAATTGCGCCACGTGCACATACTTGAACATGCCCGACCGAGACATTTGCGAAATATGCGCCAAATCGAGATGCAAAGGAAACGAGGACAAGCCACTTGCCAGCGGCGGCAAGGAGTGTCCAAAATGCACGCTGGTAAACGAGAAAAATGTTTCTATCTGTGATGCTTGTCATACCAGTCTGAAGGATTCTCCGACCTATATATAGACAGAACGACTGAAACTTTTTGCAAATAAAAAGATTCTCGCATATTTGCCACAATTTGCAGCAGTTTGCGCGAAGGTACGCGTATTGCGTGTAAGACAAAAATTCTTGATCGAATTGCATATGTATAATATGAATCTTTTTCAACGACCTAAAATGGAACATGAATACAGAAAACTTAAAGACATGATAACGTTAATATAACGCATATAATCTTGATCTATACATATATAGAGAAGGTACAAAGATATTTATTTAAGATTATCTCACACGGAGTAAGGAGAATCTTATAACGATTTTCTTTTTAACATTGTACTAGTATTATTATGTTATGGCCTATTGAGGATGATTATTGAGAGTATTGAGAATAAGTATCAGAGTCATATTACTATTAACTATTAGCGTTATTGTAACGTATTTGACAGTTTGTCATTAAAGAATTAAATTTAATCGAATATTAGGCCAAAGCTTAGAAAATTAATGTTATCAGGATTAATTGAAGAATGATGCGCAAGACGCTGATTACTTATTCGAAAAATATTTAATATATGTTTGTTCTTATATATATCATTGTGCAATCTATTTTGTAACTTAAATTGTTGCTTGGAATTTAAAACAAATTTTGTTCTTTGCAAACAGATTGATTTAATTTAGTTTCTAACAGAGAATACTGCAATAAATTAAAACATTGAATATTGTTACCATAATGAATAAATTTTATATACAATTAACAAAATTATTTTAAAAAATGACGTTTAATTAGAGAGAGAGAGAGAGAGAGAGAGAACTTCGGTTTTCAAATGGTAGTCTATACAATGTTACAAATTAAAGGGAGGTTTTTTAACGAGTTCAATAAAAGAAAATTAAACATTTGCTATAAAAATACAAGAATGTTAAAGCTTTATCAGAATATTATACATACTTATCGCACTATTGGTTGCGGATATTATTGTTATAACTATTGTAATAATGCACATTGTGCTATATAACTAGGAAAAACAATATAAACATAATAAGGATTTAATGTAATTAAATGCATATAGTTTGGAAGTTTCATCGCAGTACGGCAGCATCATCTATATTAATGTGTACCGAAATCGTATAAAAGTAACTGTTCTGTTTATTTAAGAGTAGTAATCACATATTTATTTATTCATACTATACATTCCTTATTGATCGTCAAACTATTAAAACTCGAAATACGATCTGCTTATTAAATACTATTTGTTAACATTACTCTGCAATATTTTTTTCATCTTATTCAACATTGTTTTAGATTGTTGAATGTGTATAAGTTTGTATGTACGTTAGATTCATACAAATAATGTGTTTTCCTAAGCTTACATAATTGTGTGTCGACATTGCGCAAAACGGTACGTAATCGATTAGCTTAGTGTAAAGTGTTTTGAGAAATAATGAAGAGAATTTTGCTCAATAGAAAAAGATCTATAACAATGCTTGAGCTAACGTACTTTAATTTACATTTAATTATCCAGCTTTTTTATTAATAACATAGTGTGGATGAGAGGTTTTTATTGAACTGTGCTGGTTTATAGCCTAATTTAATGCGTCAGAATAATAGAAAAGTGATTCGTGGCGATATTGAAGATTCTTATATAGGCAAGACACTAAGATATTAATAAAATAATTGGCACACTTGAAAAATGAAAAAATTTCGTACAGTAATAAATCCTCGTGCTTTTCTTAATAAATAAAAGTATGTGTTTATATATTTCAGATATATGCTCTATCTCGTGCGCGATATAGCACAAATAATTTTTAAAACTGTTTACAAAAGGCTGATATCGCAACCATAGTAGAATTGATATTTTTTCATCAACAAAATATATGAAAGTATGACAAATAAACAATGAAAAGCATGCATGAACGGTTATATCAACGTAACATCTTGTAGAGTTTATGTGAATTAAATAATTATCCGTTGTATACAAGTAACAAATTTAATGTAATACGCAGACTATATTTCTGTAAAATTTTTATTAGATACATTAGCAGAAAAATCACTTTTATATAAAAACCAGATAATTATTTTTAATAGAATGCATGTATATTTAAATTATTAACACTAAATAAATAAACATGTATATATCTCTGGGAAAATTTCTTATATAATAATTTGATAAAGAAAGGAATAATATGAAATTAATATAGAGAAATATTAATTACTAGCCGTTTTCATGGCTTTTTCTAACAATTTAGAAGCAGCTTGATGAATTTTTTTATCCATTTTATCTGTGATAAAAGAATTTATTTCAGTTGCAGCATATATTAATTATAATGAAAATCATTAATATTTTTACTTACAAATTTTATGTTTTCCTTTCATAGGAAATTGTATTGGTAACATGTAAGAGTTCTCACATATGAAGACATACGGATTATCGTTTTCTCCTTCTGGATATAAATTTCTATATTCTTTTTGAGGTAAAACATCGGTCACTGTTACACAGCCTAACAGGCAGCTCGTAGGATAGGTTTCGGGGAACTTAATTTTTTCTAAAATTATCAAGGTATATAATAATCAAGGATAAAACAAATATTTCTAGATAAATATTTTTTACCAACCATTTTTTAATATGCGATAGGCTTGCTCTATATTAGATATTTCTTCAGAGGAAGGTACTTTAGCAGCCGATGCAATCCATAATCTTCCCCTATGTGAAGAATACCAACTTCTACCCTCGTGACTAATAATGTTAAAATCACATGTTAGCCATCTGCTGATTACATGAATTATTTTTAAATACATTACTCACATCTTTATTCCTGCTACTAGCAAGGATGCATAAGGTTGATGCATGCTCAAACACAGGCCTTGGTCAAACATTTCTAAATACTCTTTATCCTGTATTCTGCTTTCTATATTTTCTTTCCATGTGTGATTTTCTACTTTTTTACTTGTTTCAAATATTCCCATCTCAACAAACTTGATATAGTAACGATATGAAATGAAAAATGTATGATTGTTTAGAATTAGCAATAGAAGTAAACTTCTGACATAATTAATTTATTATCGTTATTTATAAAAGATCTGCAATCTTACTGTTGGACGATCAAATTCTATCGTTGGACAAATGTTCGGATTTTCAAAGTCGTCATATGATATTGTTTCATCAAGATCTTCCGATTGCAAGTTAATGAATTGATCTTCATCAACTACCACTCTTCCCATAAAATCTATAACGACTTTTCTGTCTAAACGCGACGCATGCTTGCGTGCTAATGCTTCATCTTCTTGCTTCTGTAGCTTTTTGCGCTCATCGTGAGAAAGCCAAATGCTATTTGACTGATAATAGTCTGACTCGTCATCGATCACTTTAGTGCGACGAGAACTGTAAATTAAATTTATGACAGTTAATGTATAGAAAATGTTAACTGAAATAACAAATACATACCTATTGCGATCAAATTCAAGAAGTTTGTCCCTTTGTTTAAGAGAATCTTCAAGATCTTTATTTGGTTTTTGATCCATCAATTTATTATACAAATTATCAGCCTGTTTAGTATTGCTTCGAAGTAATATCTGTTCATCTGGAGAACAAACAAGTTCTCCACAAAAGAAACATGGTCCTGAGCCTTCTTGTACACAGACTATTCTTCCACAATTAAGACAATTGTTAATCAATGCATGTCTGTTTGCTTCACAGTCACATTTATGTCTTCCTGAGAAAAAAAATTATCTATACACAAAACATTGCTAGATATATGTATATTATTTGTACAAATTTATTATATAAATTATAAATACCTTTCAACAGAACATTTCCATGAGACAATAAACTGACAAATTTAGTCTTCTTCTTTTCTATCTTTTCAGATTTTATCTCAGGCTTTACAACTTCTTGGACCTAATATACAAAAAGAAAAATGGTACACAAAATGCTCAACAATTTTCTAACACAATTGATTAATCTATTTGTTATATAATCCTCTAAAAAAATATAAAATGTGTACTTGAACATTTTTTTTCCCTTTTGCTTTCCCCTTTTTCTTATCGCTTTGTTTCTTGGATATATTATCGTCGTCATTTGTCTTCTTGTATCTAGTTTCATTATTATAAGAGGCTAAAACAATAATAACAGTGCAATAATTTTAATAATCTAGCAAAATTCTCCAAAATTTACATCTAGATAGAGTTACTCACCGCGTCTCTTTTTCAATTCTGTCACAAATTGTCTGTGACTTGGATTTTCATTATCCAAAAGAGATCTAAGGTATTCATCTAAATCTTTTTCATTTTCCACCTGTAAAATATACCTGAAAAATAGATGAGACGACATTATACAGATACAAATTTTCATTACTCATTTGTACTTACGTGGTTAAATCATTCGGGACCAGAAAATTCAATAATTCGGACAATTTCTCTCGCATCCATTTCTCCATGATTCTTGAACAAATGAATGACAATTTTCAATATAATGTGCAACAATGTCGAAACACTACATGCGATCTTTTTCTAGAAAAATCCGAAAAACGGTTTGCAATGATTGTAATTTGCATTAGGTTAGGTTAGGTAAGGTAGTAGCATACATCATAATATATATATATGTCAATGGTGTTGATATCGCCATTATGTGTCACGCACTGCATTACCATCAATACATAATATATATTGTTCGCATGATAATTTAGCGACTTATATTGGTAATACAGTGCACTTAGTTACGAGTCTTGCAAAATTACCTGAAGGTGTCGTGTTACTTGATATGATTGATTTGGATCGACCCATGCGGCCATGCTCATTGCTCATGTGCACAGTGCACTTGTCCTAACCTCTCGTGCCTCTTTGAGATACGCTTGGATTTGTATATTTTATTATTTTCAATAGTTATCAAATTATTTAGGGATGGGTAAGCATAAGCGGCAGCGACTGAAGCCTCACAAGGAAAATCCCACTGGATTACCGTCTGTTCAGGAGTTCGAGTTAAATGAAGAACTTACGGAAGGAGACAGGGGCAAGATTTTGCAAAACGTTTACGATGATGTGAGCATAGATAGCGATCAGGTTTTATCGATGCGATATGCAGTGTATTAATATATACGTTATTTAAAGTAAAATTAAGTTAATTAAAAGTTGATAAGATTTAATAATAAAATATACAACGAGGATACGACGTCTCTTCTTAATATGTATTTCTTTCTTTCTATCTAGATACAGTCGTGTAATCTCGAAGAGAAATTATCTGCTCTGCAAATATTGGCCTCAATGTCTTGCGATTTTTCTATGGCCAAGCAAATCGCTAAGGATGGAATAGCAAAAATAATTGGTCCACTGTTGATGGATCATAATGTCGCTATACGAGCGAATACCGCACACACTTTGCGGGAAATTGCTGAAAATGGTAGTGAGGAAGTGTGCAATGATTTAATTAGAGATGACATTATAACTCCACTCACTGCATTACTGAGACAAGTATGATACGTTTGTATTAATTATATCCATATATTTATACCTAACACGTTTCAATATTTCTTAATACATAAGATGAATTAAAGTAACAATTACATATAACAAAGTTTTCGCAAAGATATTTTAAAATTGAATAAATTCTCTGTCTATAGTACTATTCAGACTGGAAGCCTAAACAAGCTGTGGACGAAAAAACGACTTTTATTCAAGCAGTAAACTTGTTGCGGACGTTATGCGCAAATGATGAGAGCGCGATCAAGCGAGCTAATGAAGAAGATTTGTTATCATTCTTGATAAGGTTTTTGGATGTTGATATTTATGGAACGGAGATTGTCAGCGTTGTTATACAATTCATGGTATGCTTGACAGAGGAAAATGACGCTGCCATCAGTAAAATTCAACAAAACGAATCAGTTTTCTTTAATCTGTTGGATTTAAAAGTCGACGATGATAAGTCTGCTTTTAAAATAATGCTCCTGAAAACTTGTGCAACTGAGGTATTAATTAATATCTGTCATTGTACAGACAATACTTGGATACATGTATTTCGTAAGGTGTTGCCAGATATCTGATATGCTCACAACCGATCATAGAGAAATGCTGTCTAGCTTAACGTCTATCCTACCACATGAATCCAACGCTTCTTCGAGCGATAAAAAGAAGAAAGTACAAATGAATAGAAACTTATTGGAAATACAGGAACAAGCTTTACAGATCTTGGCAAATTTGTGTATTCAATATGATGAGGACACTGCAAACAATTCTGACACTGATGATTCTGAATCAATGGAGCTCGAAACTGAATGTTTGGATGATGATTCTATGAATGAAGATTTGAAAATAACGGCAACGCTTCCAGTAGAACTAATTGAAATTATGGAAAATTGTAGCTTAATTGAAAAAATTTGGGACAAGACTAAATTTGTAGTGGATGAAATCAGTCAGGAAATATTAGATCAAACTGAAGAAGGAAAGGCTACGTTGAAGCAATTTTACAACATTCAGTGTGCAGCTTATTTATGTTTAAACAATTTATTGTCCAGCATAGAAGAGGTTGATGTTTTTGGAGGCGTTGACAATTTATTTGGGTAGATAAATTCCAAATTCTTTTGAACAATAATAAGAATATTTTTTTTCTTTTCTATTATTTATAATAATTATTGGCTTTTGTTAATTTTGGATATTTTTGCATTTAGGAAATGGATAGATATTGCAGCAGAGTTTAAGCAGATCAGCAAGGATGTAAAACTTGCAGAAGCAAGTACTGCTGCCATGAGAGCCATTCTTCAACGTTTAGTCGAAGTACGAGCGAATGTCGTTAAATTAAATCAATTCATTTCTAACGACATCCAGTCTATGTTAAATGACGTGCTGTCATTTCAATGTGTCAGTACGGATGTCCGCGTTAATATGATAAGGATGCTCTGTAATCTAGCACAGATCATGTTGAATAAGAAAGATTCGAAAAATGATGAAGCAATAAAGGTGATTATTTTCGTGTTTCTTTTGGTTTCTTTTCTGCAAGAGTATCTTTATAGCAATTATTATTTATTTTTGGCAGTTTGTTTCCACATTGTTATTGGACATGGCAAAAACTGAAACTCAAGTATGGGTTGTAGCAGAATCTATAGACGCAATAATGGACATATATGCGGAAGACGAGACTGATTATTTAGCGGCAGATATCAAATTGGTTCCGAGATTGCTATCTGTAATGCCACATTTTAAAAACAAGGTAATTATTTTTTTGTTTGTTGTATCAAATATCAATACATTGATTTGCATATAATTATTTTGTAGATGCACCAACAGAAGAAACAATTACAAGGTGGCACAGTCGTAGTATCAACTGTAAACGCAAACTTAAATAGGTTTATAAAATATAAACAGAAACGAATAGGAATTAAACAAAAATGAACGTGATTAAACGTTGTTGTTTATTCGAGAGATTTCTTCGAATTACACGGATGATGAACGAAAATAGTTTTGTAACAAATAACTTGTGAAATATTTTTGAAGAGCAAGAAAAGTACTCTCGCACTTGTCACTTTATTTTTCTGCACTTTTATAATATTTACTTTAAATGATTTTACTTTTGGGTTTTTAGATCCGGAATAGGATAATGTTTTTTATCACAAGATATTTCTTGACAGTTTATGCTTTATTTCATATCAATAAATAACGAAAATAATAGCTAAATTGTTACAGTAAAATATCAGAAATGAAGATAATGTATAATTATCACTGTATAATTATCAATTAAATAGAAATGCTAAAGTTCTCTGCAGTAAATTTTTTTGCAAAAAAAATATATTCGACGCGTTATGTAAATCATTGCAATCTAAGAAAACAAAGGTACATAATATAGAATGTACTTACAGTCTTTGAATAATTCATATATAATAGATTCATATATGATAAATTACTAAACACAATTATATCCTCAATGCATGTAAAAATCATGAAAACAACAGAATTTCATTGGGAACGGATACGATCGAAGATTTAAGATTTTAAAAAGACTTTCCTCTGTTATCATCGTCTTTTAAATTTTTGTTTTCGTCCTTTGATTTAAATTCAGATGTGTCTCTTAAACTAAGCGCACTGTGTCTCCTGGGTTTTGGTATGGGATTTACTTCGTCCAAAAGCTCGGGTTTATGTTTGATCGGTTCAGAAATGTGTAATTCGATCACTTTTACCGGATCGCGAGACGCTGCGATTGGTATTGGCGAATCCGTTAATCTGACCACATGAATGTCATTCTGTTCACGTGGCAATTTCTTGAATTCCAACTTAACTGGACCAGACGGCCCATCCACCATATTTTCGAAAAAGTGTCGGCGATTCGCCTGGATAGATAATCTGGTGCTCGTTATCGGATCATCGGAACACACATCGTCGATATCTTCTTGCTCATTAGATGCGTTTTTACTTTCCAATGCCTTGATCTGTCTCTCGATCTTTTCAATTTCCTCCTTCACGGAAAAACTGTCGCTTCGCGATAATGTGCTGGACGAACCCTTTTTTCTCAGACAAACTTCATCAGATTCTTCATCAATATCCTTGATGATCTCGATCTTTTCCTGAGACGTTCTTCTATATTCTATATCCACGGAATCTTTCTCGACCGTATCCTTAACAATAATAATGTTTGAGTTCTCATTTACTTTCGACTCGGATTCAGATTTCTCTGATTTTCCATCAGATTCAAGTATTTTTTCTTCCGAAAGATCCTTTTTTTCTTTCTTCTCCTCAGACTCGCAGTTCTTAGAAATGTCACATATTTCATTCCTCCCGGTATTCTTCGTAACATTATCAGACGGCGTGTCTTTAGTAGTTTTCAGATATAATTCCGCTTGCTTCTCTTCTTTCCGGAGCGACGTCTCGTTCAATTCTTCGCAAGGCTTTTTCATTTCATCGATGTTTTCAGTGACCCTGGCGATGTCGATCGGCTCGGTTATTCGGAGTTCAAGTTTACTCGTTTCTGATATAGGTTCTATTTTATTGGCCTCCGCTGCAGATTGACAATTGCCTTCCTGTAAAAACATTATCATTACATCAGTTGTATTTATTACACTCATTTATCAAATATCAATACCGTCATTCAGAAAGTTTATATATCGTACCAGAGGAGTATCCAATTGTTCCTTCTGTTTCGGCGGTTGCGGTGCTCTCCGTTTTTTACGTCCGTACGTACTTGTCGTACTGGTAACGGATATACAACTGTTGATGGACAAATTCGATCTTCTCACAGCGTCCTGGTTGAATCTCTTAAAAACGTAATCCTCGGGCACATTTTCGTTCTCGTCCCTCAGGCTAATGTTACCGGAACGATTTGTCGAATCTTCCTCCAACGTGGTTCCACTCAATCTTTGCGATGATCTATTGCCGAATCTTCGCCTGAAAAAAAAATTGCACATTGTAAGTAAAATTTTTAATTTCGAGCAGAATGTACTGTACGTTTGTTGTATTTTGACATCTTACGTATAACGAGAATTTTTTTTTTATATTATCGGAAAAGATTTTATTTTATCGCTTAAGATTTATGGCAACTAAAGTTTCGAATTATAGTAACTGTCAGAAATATCTACAGAAAAAAAAACAAAGTACAGATGATCTCACATTGGTGGAATCGGGATCTCCTCTGATTTATCGTGACAATTAACACTACCATTTTGCTTGTCTTCGAAATTCAAAGGTGGTATCTTGTCCGTTGGCCTTGGGCTCACCTGTCCAAATCTGAAAAACAAAATTATTGAAAATTTAATTTTAATATTCTAAAAGGAATATTTCTACGAACATCTTTCAGGGATTATAAAATTATTTTAATATTATTCTATTCGAATATAAATCAATAAAGTAAGTTTCTTATAAATACATTCTTGTAGAATATTGTTTAAATGTCGATTTTAATTCTGCGAAATTTACCTTCTGGCTGGTGGTTTCGGAGTAAGATTAACGCTCATGATAGACGTTGTAGTATTTTGAGGATTTCCATCACTGATCTTAGCAGGATCTCCGTTTACCGTTAAATTCGAGCTATATCTTGAGGTGTTGTCGAAAGTGTACTTCCTTCTCCTTGTCAAAGTTCCCAAGGCTTCATCAAATTCTTGCTGATCCTTAGACAGTCGTAAAGGTGCTGTCGGTCTGTCATAAGGTTCTCTTTTGTACGTAGTCGAGACTACAATATAAGTGTGGTAAGTTGTATTTTATTTTATATTTTTTTATAAAATATATTATTTATTACATAATATTACATTTTCTATACTTAATATTTCACAATATATAAAGTAATAAATCGCGCGCGCGGATATGTATGTAAATTGTACAATTATTTTTACAATTAAAAAGCTTATTTTTCAGATTTTTATTTTATTTTAAATTTAAAATATAAACACAAAATTACATTAAATTAGTGAATACATACTTTTGAAGTGTATTAAATCGTCCTTTAAAAACATCGAAACAATTAAAACAATTTGAAAAAGAAATTGTTCATTTATTATTAAAATTACGCGTGTACTCTTTCTAATATATTAATTAATTTTAATATTTTATCTTATTTTAAATTAATGTGTTTTATATAGGAGTCGAGATTATGCAATTAAATTTCGGATAGACAAACCTGTTGTAATCGTCGACCTCTTTTCCACCGATTCTGGATTTTCTTTGCGCTTTCCAAACAATCCATTCCTAAATGTAAAGATCGATATTGAATTAATTGTCACATTAACTACATTGTTACTTTTATATTGAATTATAATAGAAAGAGCTGGATGATATTTAATTTAATATACAATTAAAATTGCACACACTATAAGATTATACATATATTAAAATTATAATCGCGTTAATAATAAAATTAAAGTAACATATTATTCATTTAAAAGCGCTCTGATTCCGCAATAGGCGATAGTAATAATCATGTTGCGCGTTTTGCGTTGCCTTAACGGATCTTTATGCGACGTTTACGCACACGCAAAGATGACGAGATTGCGAGGCTCATCGTTTGACATACTTTGGACATATGTTAGAAAATTCATAACGTGCTACGTCATCATTGATGTCTTGCAAATTTTTGCAAACTGCGTCGATTAAGAATCTAAGTCGGAATTAAAATATTGTATTATAAATTCTATATGAATTTAGGAATAATTATAAAAACTTTCAAGGAACTTTGTGTCATCAGGCGATACTTGTCTTACAAACATATTCTTATTTTAATCTATCTATTGCTACAGGCACGCGTTTAGAATTGAATACATACTAATTGATTTACTGCGTAAAAATTAAAAAAAAGGTGAAAAAGTGAATTTTCCAAACACGTGCGTGAATGACACAAAGCCTTCCTATGCACATTTGCAGTTAAAAGCGTTGTACGATTATATTCATCCTCATTTCGCTTAATATCACTTCCACTTTGTCGACGATCACGGCCGATAATTTGAAGCGTACGTTATATTCGCTATTGTACGTACGCGCAACGTGTGTTAATTCAACTTTCGATTCGATAATGATGCTCACGGCGCAGATTCTTTGGTTTTCTTCGCGCAGCTCTGATTAGTTCGATTATTCCGATTGCTAATCAGACCAGAACTTAATTTAATCTTGATGAAAGTATTTTTTTTTTAATCACGTGAATAATGCGAGAGTATACCTACACGCGGAATAATTTTCTGTAAAAATATAGCGTGACTTTCGTATAGTGGAATTGTGTGTGTAACAATTGTGTGCGGGTAGTTAATTGTTTCGCTTCTCTGAAAAAACTGTAGGGAATATTGAAAATGGAAAAACAGAGTACGAATCAATTTTCAAAAGAGTACTGTTATATTTCGTAATATCAATGTGGTCTTATGCGTTGTTTCATCGTATGCCCTCTTTGTAAAAGTTATGAAGAAAAGTTTCACGCAATCACACTTGTATTTTATTATAGCACATCATATAAGAATAATTGCTAACGGCTAATAATACTTATTTAAAAATACCAACTCACCAAGTCGATTTGATCGAGAAGCTGTTCGATCTTTTCTTTCGGCTTCTGCCAAACGTCCAGAACTTGTGTCTGGATTCTTTCGACGATTTACCCTCGTGATGTACTTGCGGCTGAGAACTTGTCGTGTCATCGTTGAACGGATTCAGATGTTCCGGATAATCATAGATCGATACGCTAGGCCGTCTGGGCCTCGAAGACGACATGATTCACCCGTCAAATTTCGATCGTCGTCGAGAAAGATATTAAGCGAAATGCCACGTGGAAGTCATCGATTTCTTGTCATAACTCCTGCCGCAATCCTGCAAGCTATTGTAATTTCACGAAATAATCTATATTAAAAATTTGCGTAAGAATTTTTATACGTTGGCGTATGACAAAAAAGAGGCACACAATAAAAAGTATTCAAAACGAAATGTAATTGCAGTAAATACATGTAATTGAAACCAATTAGGTAAATGTAATTAAGATAAAAGTGATAAAATTTCTCTGCTCATTGTCAAATGTGCACTGTCATGACACGCGAAAATGATAAAGTTTGTCAAGACATTCGCGATTAATTACTAACTATACGTTGATGAGCTATCGTCAGTCCGATCAGTGCTAGGCGATGAACGAGAGGAAAGCGATTTGGAGCGATATAATTGCTGGATGTCCGTGCGTGCATTCATCGTTCACGACAATTGCTAAGTTCAAATTGAATGACCCTACCAAATAGAACCGATGAACGACCGATACTGCGGCTACATATTGACGATGGGATTAATTTACTAACTCAATGACGATAAAAAGCTGTAAACACTCTCGCGTCACGCTAACCCGGTTAACAAGACATCTTCTAATCGTCTGCTGAATTACAATGCGCGAAACAACTGTATGTCGTTTGCATAATGTTATTATTGCTTGCAAATTGCGTCTCTCGTTTTTCCGATTGCATAGCACGGTAGATTAATTTTATCTTTTTTTCCTCTCTTTCAGCATCTTCAATCGAAAATATAATTTTTCGATTTTATTTCTTTAATTTTAACATGCAAGTAAATATTCAATTGCAATTTTGAAAATTATGTATCGTTATTCATCAAAAAGTTTTATGAGTTTAATTTTAAGCATTTAAAGATTTTTCTTCAAGCGGAATAAAAAAGTTGACACTTCAAAAGACGTTGTGAATTTTGCGATGCGAAGAAGACGAACGAATATGTACGCATGCATCGGACTAAAATGCATCGTATGAATCGGCACGTACAAATAGTGTCTAACAAATGCAATTAGCTCAATTAGTTCACCGTCGCGCTCCGTTTTGTTCAATTCGTGCACTGCCTCGCGATTCGAAATCGCGTTCGATATATCGTGCGTAAATTTCGAATACGATTCTATTTTGTGACGAATGATGAGCGATGCACGACAAAATGCAAAACATGCTTGAAGGTTTTATGCTAATATATACACGATCGCGCTCACGAATGCAAGTCTTTGTATTAATTGTAGAAAGAGAGAATAAGTAAAAAATATATATGTATGTTTTACGAATTTATGAGATAAAGAAAAACAAAAGATTAACCACAATCATGTGCATTTTTTTTTTTATATCAAATTAATATTTTTCACATTCTTTTCAAAAAAACTCAATATTGATGAATGACAAATCGCGTTGCAGAAAGCACTGAATTCCACTCCATTGATTGTATGAATATTGGCAGTTGTTTTAGAATATATTAACCCAAGTGAACTGTACTATAAGGCACGCGATTATTCCATAACGATCGGAATCATCTCGATGGATGTCTGCAGCGCGAGTCAGCTATACAAGATGTCCCAGACCTTTCACCTTTGGATTCTTTGACTAATTTGGAATTTGGAATTGACGCTTCCCCAGCCAATATCGAGAAAAGTCATCGTATGCGCCGTAATTTGTGTTAAATTAAATATCTCTATAATTATCCACACATTTTGTAAATCTGTTATATGTAAGTAGAAATCGTTTTTTAATTTAGAATATAATTTTGCTATCTGATTGCACCTTTGAACTTGCACTTCATTTTCAAAACATTTTCATTTTCGATTACTTATAACTTAAAAATTTGTTGCTAATAAAATGACTTAAAATCATTTGAACCTCCGATCTCAAATTATGGTAGAATTAACTTTAAATTGATAGGTGAAAGGTAGATCTGGGATGCCTCCATACATTTGCATTTGCGCGTAGATTATTAGTCTTCAAACGCAATCGATTAATCGCTGCAGATTATGACGTAACTATATGATGCACGAGTTTCGCAATTCGATTGTAGCACGTGCAACGAGCGAGTTGAAAAAAGATCTCCTTGTATATCGAATTAACACGCGTCGTTTTCCCGTTGCTTATGTACTTGCCGTCTATAATGCAACATAGTATGTACATATTTGTGAGAAACGACTGGAGCATGTCGCTAACGTAACGTACATAATAGGAAGGTACTAAATAGTTGGACGTAAGGAAGCGAGCTTCTTTCGCAAAAAAGCTACGACATTTTTCTTTGCGTGTTATTTGTCAAATACGTTCCGATAAATTGCGTCCCGATCATAATTTGTCTGTATATTTTGGAGCTTCAGGACGCCACAAGTAAAATTATATTATTTCAAAGATCCGCTACTCAGCAAATTTCAGCGCAAAGAGGATTTAATCTAATCTCTCGCTGTTGACGAGAAGCATTTCACTAGTACAAGCAAATGCCCTCGCACTTGGTTTAATCGGAGCATGCTATGACGCGGAATCGATCGCTGATTTCGATAAAAACTGCGAAAAGGAGTATCTCTCTACCCGTCTCTACCTGTGTCGTCGGACACCTCGAAACCGGATAGCTAAAATAAATAGATAACAAAATGGCATATTGGCAAACGCGAGATAATTTTTTATGTGCCGATAAATTTATATTTTAAGTTGGCAGCAAAGCGTGTTGTTTAGACTGCAATAATAAAATTGAATCGATGATTACGATCGACGTTCCATTTAATTGCCAGCTGTGTATAATTGATACACGATGTCTAAGTTTGGCTGATGACTCATCGCGCCGTGCAACTGAACTCGCGTGGACGACAATGCAACTTATCTCATTTTCATCGCGGTTTACTTGAGGTGTCGATATATTGTGATTAAAAGTCACATAGATTCGGCGATATATAAATATCCGTATAATGAATTTATCGTTTAAGTCTTACTGAGCCTTCTTTTCTGCGAATTTTTCTTACATCAGAAATTAATTTTTATATATAATTTTCGTATAATATTATATAAAGTTTAAAATATATAATAAATATACATTCGAATAAAGTAATATATTACAATATCGTTGCATGCACGAGTAATTTGAGAAAAATTTTATGTCTATATGAAAAAAAAAAGCATGACATATAATTAAATTTAACGCTGAGCATATAAGTATGTCTCGATCATGGATGCGCATAAAGCAAAGTCCAAAGGACTGTAAGGAAAGTCGAAAGAACTTGTAAGAAAACTTGGAAAGTTTTTATTAAAAGTGGGAAAAGTGATAATCGCGCCTCGGGTGAAAACGCAGCGATTTTCTGGCTCCGACCCAGAATCACGGCCGTTCTATTTCACCGATGATATTTTTGGATCTTAGGAAATTTAACGGGGAATTATATCATATAAACGCCTGCACGATCGCTCTTCTCCAGAACATTATGGTTTTCATGTGTTTTCGGAAATTTTTCTTTCGTTACAATAAGAACAAAAAATTACGGTCATTAATGCACGCAAAAAATTACGTTCTGTATCTCATTTACAACAACTCGCGAAACGAGTTTGTAAAGTTAACGATAAAGGTAAAGGCACGATCGGAGTACTTTTTCGAAGAAAAATCGATTTAACTGTAATTTCTACGAAACTGCCGTAAGTACTGCGAAATTGACATATTTCTCGTACGTTTTTTTTTTATATCTTGAACATGCATTGATATCGCCGTTTTAAAATACACCTTTTTATTTGTAACTTGTTTTACTTGTAGATAGTGTTATCTCTGAACGACAGTAAGATTCAAAGATTTTATTTTTTCCTCTAAAATTTTCTACAAGTTACAATATATGTAGAATCGAAATATGTAATGCAGATAGAAACAGCTATTAACATTTCTTTATCGCGGATGTATACAACGGTATGCTATGACACTGATATGCATTTCGTGCTAACAATAAGCTATATCGACGCAACTATCGATTGGTTGTAACTTGTCATGGATTTCTATATATATATAAAAAGCTATAAAATTTACTACTGCATCATTAATGCACCTTTCAATCTAAGCAGCATGTAAGCACAATTATCGGTTATTAAACTTCAGAAAAACTCCATTAACGATTGTTCGAGAATCGAAAGTCGTCCGAAAATAGAATCTCGTTGTAATCCGCATTCTCGGCATGAGTCGTGATCGGGAAAGTATTTAGAAATTTCGTTCTCAATGAATTCTATGAATCGCGTGAGCAGATATTCACTGCAGGATAGATCATCATTAAAAAACTTTATTATGAACAAAACGGACAAAGGATTTGCATCGGACATTGTTTCATGGTTTCACAATTACGGAAGCAAACGTGTGATTCGCTTACAAATCTGTCAAGTTTTATACCGTATATTATTTCATTGGCAATTTTTAGGTATGACGATAACAGTGACTTGCAACGATTATATACGTTGTCGCGAGTCGCGAGCGACTTTACGTATACGTACGTCTTATCGTGATTTATATTAATATTAAGCCCACAATCGTGGATGTATTCGATTCTCGTGTCTCCAAGGCAACTCATCCAAACATCATCGGTATCTTATTCATTCTACAAAAGCTCGGGTGTATAACTATACTGGACTTTCGTAAGTGCAACACTTTGCATGTCTATAAAACGCAACGATTCATCATCGTATCAGAAAAACGTCATCAAGCAAAACGGAAACAGTGACATTTGCATTTTGATATACTCGCGCGATACCCATAAGAGACTGAACAAGAGACTTGTCGAAGACATTGTACTTACGTAAGTATGCGTGTGTGCTGATCGCAGCGACGTATCACTTTGGATTTTTGCAAAGACGCGATTTAACGAAGCACGAAACACTTTCACGTAACTGATCACGACTGAACTGAGGAGACACACGAGCATATAAATCAAAGTTCAACGTGTGGAACTATGAGCGAACGAACAACATAAATAACCCTCCTATCTTTACGAGCCACGCCGGCCAACTGCGGCAGTCTGCTGCGGCCGCTGCCGGTCGCATCCACATTCGGCCACTATCGTGATTCTTCGATCATTTTCGCGTACACGTGAATTTCGCGCCGTGTTCGACGATAAGATAAAAAGACCAGATTGGTCGGCAGGAAAACTCGGCGCGGAAAATTCGAACCAAAAATTCTTATTCTCACACATAATTTGTGTTTAGATTCGTACCTCCGTAAGGCTAACTTATATTAATTTTATGTCATTCTTATTATGTTTATTTTATTTCATATTAACTAACGTTTTATCGTACTATCTTTGTGACTTATCAATATATAAAATGATTTTTAAAAAAATTATCAATTAGTAAAAACTTATAAACAAATTTGAAAAATATTGCATTATATAAATAAGTGAAATTATTTCATTTACTGCAAATTTCTCTTGAGAACTTTAGATTTCTGGGAAAAATGTTTGATAAATAAAAAATGATGAATATAATTAAAATTTCTACCAAAATTTCTACCAAATGTTCGCTTAATAAATTGTTACCGACGCTGACTAATGCTGACTGTATGCAAGCTCGCGCATTTCTAGGCGCAGGTTTATCGCGTAGGTAGGCGTTAGTGGAACTGGCTTGGAAAGTTGCACAAGAAAAGACACAACTTAGTAAGTAAAAGTATACACATGTCCATATTTTACATCGAGAGATTTAAAAGTATTCGCAAATTAAATCTAAATTTCTCTTCCGAAAAAATATTGTCCAAATTTCTTTAATCTCCAATTATATATTTAAACTCTAAACAAATTTTTTTGAAATTTTATTAAAAAGCTTACTCAACAAGTAAGCGTTCAATAAAAAAGTCTGCGATAACGCAAACTTATGTAGCTGCAGGCAAATGCTATTTTATCCGTATGATGTAACGCGCGTTCGTATGTTGAATCAATAGTGTAGAAACGCGGAATTGCAGAAGCTACATCTAGAAATCTTTTTTCTTGATATTCTCTTCATGTCACGGTTATCGTATGGCATTGCAAAATAAGGCAGTGATCTCAATAAACGCAATATCTGCATATCCAATGAGTGTATTTCGATCGATGACAACGACACGAAATGCTATTTAATTGTAAGTAACGCGTGATATCTTTTTATCCGGATAGATACTTTATCAACACTGAATAATACTTTACAAATTCGCATAATCAATAACGTTCATTGTTTTGAATAAAACGAAATCTCAGTTACCTCTTAACTTCATGACATAATTAATTCATCTCACAGTTGCGGGAAACTTATTGCCAAATGCAAACAATTTATCCCATACTATATCTCGATTCAATTCTGTACTGATTACATCGCCAAACTGATAAGATAGCAGTTATCGTGCTAACTTTATTCAGTTCGTTCGTAATATTCGCACAAGGCGTCTAAATCTGTTATATTTGATAAAATCTAGAAAAAAGCCGAGAAAATCACGAGTCATTTTATAGACAATATTATTGTTTCAAAAAATGGGCGTCTAAATCTGTTATAATTGATAAAATCTGAAAAAAGTTAGAAAATCACGAGTCATTTTATGTACAATGTTAGTGTTTAAAAAAAGGGGCATCTAAACGGCCAGTTATAATTGATAAAATCTGAAAAAAGCCAGAAAATCACGAGTAATTTTATATACGATATTAGTGTTTCAAAAAATTCACAAAATAAATTGATAAATAAAATAAATAACGTTGCATATCAGCGCCTTGAGATAGATCTGTGAATCTTTTGAAATCATTAGACTTCATTATCCTATAATTCGAGCATTGTATGCGAGCATAATGGAGTTGGCTTTCAAGAGTAGCGGCGCAATGAAACTCGCTATTGAAAATAATTATGAGATGATCCCGATGATACAAAAAGTTTATCGCAAAGGATCTTTTTATCTTTTCGTCTTTCATCAGATCTTTTATCTCATTTTTTATCTTTGATGATTGACCTAGTAAGACGACCTTGTTAATAAATGAAAAGGGGAAGATTATATTTTTAATAAATATTACATTAATTTTTATTACAATAAAGCATTTTAAATTGCTACACAAAGCTAAGATTAATCAGTAAAAAGTAACTAAATCTTCAAGAATATTTTATAAATTGTAATCTTTCTTTTGTTATCGAGAAGTAATTGAAATATTGAAGTAATGAAATATTATGATTTTATCACGCGTACTTTTTTCATTTTGAATTACGAAGTAATTCACGATACTTCAATAAAGATCAGTCTGGATGACTCATTTTCCTTGATTCTGTCCGATAGATCAGCAACGTTAGAAATGGTCGTCATACGTGGCGTGTTATTATAAAAAAATGCAACAATTAGAATTGTTAACGCTAAAAGTGATTTGATTAGTGGCATTTGTCCAAATAAAGAACATTGTATTTGCGAAATGGTAGCATAGAAATGTCGGTGCAGTACAAAAATGTATTCATAAATTAGGAAGATCGCGCGAAAACGCGTTGCACTAATTCTTACATAACAATGGTCAGAAATCGAGACCCTTCTCTCAATGCGCGAATACGTGACTCTGTCGGTGTATATATACACACACGGTAAATGGCTCAGTGACTATGCAAATTTAAGTGCAGGAAGATCCATCCGTTTGTTAAACGCGATGAAGGCCTCGTCGCGTTAACCCACGCGATTTTTTTTATTTTAGCGTCGCGCGCAAAGTGAGAGCGCAAGAAAATCTTGATTATAGCTGAAGATAAACTATGCGTGACTCGCATAAAACCTCATCTTTTTAAAGACTTGAAATAAGAGTGAAATCAAATGTCAAAATTATTTTTAAAATACAATTTTCATTTCAAGAGTTTTCATTTGCCTATAAATTATACAAATATAGTCTACAATTTCATCATCATAATCATTTTACAATTAGTCAGATGTTACGAAGAAATAGGACGAGAACTTAGCTCCAAAATAAAATCTTTTAGGGAGAATATTGTAGGAGAGGTTGTTGTAGAAATATTAAAAATATTAAAATGCAAGAAATAAACGATAATATATCTTTGGAGATGCAACAAGAAGTCGACATAATATGTAAGCAGAAAGAAGGTCAGGTGAAAGAAGGGTCGTTAGAAAACAACATACAAGTGATTAAGGATGTAAAAAACCCTAGAAGCCACGAGGAAATAAATGGAAGAGTCATGACATTTTTGCATGAGAAAGGTTTGAGTGAAAATCTTATCAAAACATTGATAATTAATACTGGTCTTACGGATGAACATGTCAGGTTAGCTGGAATCAATAAATTTCATGTGTATTTTATGTTAATCAGAATTGAAGTTTATAACCAAAATGTTGTAAAATAAATTTTATCGTCGTAATATAATATAAAATATTGAAAAAAATAATGTATATAAACATAAATAAATACGAAGAAATCGATGGCTTATTTTTCGTCCATTTTCTCCCCCTAACTCTTTTATTTCCTTTACTTTCTCAGACTTTTAAAGACTCTAAATTTAAGTGATGACGATATCGACAATTTGCAAGATTTATGGCAAGCAAAGATCGAAGTCAATAAAAGCAGCGATTCTATTAATTCTACGTCTAGCAGTTCATCGTCTAATGACCATCATGCACAATTGTCACCGAATAGCATCTATCTAAAAAAGGTTTTGAGTAAACTTTTGATCCGAGCTCTTTGTGAAATTGTAGCAAAGAAACCGGCCGATCCTGTGGAGTATCTAGGCCACTGGCTACTCCATTATAAAGTCAGTTAATTTTAGAATACAAAAATCTTTTATTAAAATATTAAATGCGGACAAAAAAAATTTAAGATTACATTTATTCGTAAAGACAAAAATATTACAGAATCTATATAAGAATATCTTCATAGAGTAACGCTTTTTATATGTAAGAGAAATAAATCTTTAGATTTGTGAGGAACGAGCTATGCAACAGAAAGAATCCGAGTTGGAACGATCGCTTTCAATCGATCGAGAAAAATTGACACTGAAAGTATGAGCGTAATATATCTTGTGCGTTTTCTCTTTATATTGTTAAGTTGTATTTTTATCTGAAAGATATTTGCTTCGTTTAACAGAAAGTCGAAGATGAAGAGGCTTTTTTTATCGAGCGAAAGGACGAAGAGGAATATGGCGAGGACCGGAATTATTTCGATTCTGGCAATTTATGAATCAAATACAGGCGCTCTTTATTATTTTGGTTTAATAAGCGAATTAAAGAAAAAAGAAATTGAATAGACAAATTTACTTACCGATGTTTAACCTTCTGCTGTCTCTCGTCCATGCTTCATCATGTCGCAAAGCGATTGAAGGACATAAGTATATATTGTTGTTGTTGTTAATGTGATTGTCCCAAACGTGACCAAATTCTAACTTGTTACTCTCCATCTTTTATATACGATACACATACACACGCACACACTGAACTTTGTATGTATGATTAAATAACAATAAAAATTTGATGAACATAAGACGATTCGAATGCGATGTTATATCTGAAAAGTATTTACAACTCAGACGAGTTAGGCTAGAATTTTTCTTTCAACAGTCAGGTCGCGGGATCTAGCGGAAAAGTTTGGTATCATATACTAAAATTGCGTGAATACCGCAGCCGATAACTAGCGATATGCTATAGGGAGCTTGTCCGCGATAATTTACGTTTGTCAGCCTGATTTCAAGTTTCGGTATATAGAATATAGATCGTGCTTCTCGTGGAAAAAAATTACTTATCAAATGGTGAAAGAATTCAGCTGTGTGTGATTGTATATGTAACGTCATAGATATGCTTACATCTGGAGCTAATCGCTATCCGTGTCGAATGGATTGTATTTAAATTGCCTGATGAATCGTTACCCAGAAATTTCTAACTTCAGATACGAAGACGTTCTCGTGGTTGAATGTAACGCAAGTTTATTAATCTTAAATCGAAAAGCGAGTAGAGCGAGCGTTTGACATTACAGTGTTGACGTTCGACGGCGTGACATCATAATCGTATGACTAAGTCGGATATATATATATTATTTTGTATTTTCTTATACGCACAAGTGTCAAGTATTGGTGAATGATATTCCGAAAGATTTACTCTAATTTTTTGCGTAAGTGTACTTTATATTCAGTCGAGCGTGAATTTTATTCCGTTTACTCCGAATATCTATGCAACGCCTCCTTCTTCTCCTTCTCCAAATATACAGTTAGCTGTTGTGTTGTTGATCTGAATTGCGACGCGTAAATTTTTTATATATCCGAAGAACAGTCGTTTTAAATTATTATCTATGTACTATTGACATTTTTTTATTTAGTGATTTCAAGATGATCGCATCGGAAGTTGGCTCCACAAATACAGAGCCTGTCCACATCAGGATCACGAGTGAGAAAGCTCCTTTGATCAATGGCAGGAGTGTACTTCAACGACTGAGTAATATCTTTAAGATCGGAAGGACAACACATTCCGAGGGAGATGGCTACGTTGAGTTTGGCACTCTTGGCGTGGATAACACTCGTACATTGGGAACTTTTGCTGGTGTATTCAGCCCAGTTACACTGTCTATGTTCAGTGCCTTAGTTTTTATAAGAATGGGTAAGTAGTAATTCAGAAAAGTTTCTCATACCTCCAGAGTATATTGATAAGTACCTTGGTAATATTATATTAATTATTGATTTTTATTTTTAGGATACATTGTGGGTAATGCAGGGTTATTTGTGACTTTAGTTCAGTTTATTATAGCATATGGTATTTTATTATTCACAGTCGCGTCTGTCTGCGCTATATCGACCAATGGTGCTGTAGAAGGTGGTGGCGCTTACTGTATCCTTTTCTTCGTGAGCAGCAGTTCCAGCTGCCTATTACTTCCATTAAATAAACTCTATTCATTCTCCAATTTTATCTTTATTTATCTGACAGTGGTAGACCAACTATACCAGCTCATGTTTCAAGATAGCTTATCTGTAGATTGGCTCTATGCCACTTGATATTATAATATGCTGTTATGATAGCTGAGAAATTTATTTTTCGTACATTATAAAATATTGCTTTAATTGTAATATAATAATAATTAGAGCATATTTTTTATCCAATTTAATAAAAATATCAAAAGTATTTTCCTATTAATCTATATATGCAGTTATGATCAGTCGTACATTAGGACCCGAATTTGGTGGCTCTATTGGCACTCTCTTTTTCATGGCCAATGTAGTGTCCAGTGCACTTTGTATCTCTGGATGTGCTGAGGGTTTGGTTGAAAATTTCGGCCCATCCGGTTATTTGAGCGGCAAAACTGGACTCATACCAGATGGCCGATGGTGGAGATTTTTATATTGTTCCATCTTAAATACTGCCAATCTTATAGTTTGTCTTATCGGAGCTGCAATGTTCGCAAAAACCAGCGTTGCAATTTTAGCAGTTGTCTGCATCTGTTTGGCTAGTGTTGTTATCAGTTTTTTAACTCAAGGTGCAATAGAGGTAAATAACTTTATAATCTAAATATAAAAAGTATCTTATGTATTTCATATTTTCTTTGGCCGAATTTTAATTAATAAATATTTATTACGTCTTCAGATACCAATACCAGATGCAAATACATTGGTGCAAAATGTAACAAATCATGTAAATGGAAGTTACACGGGTCTCCTGTCTTCTACGCTTTCCAACAATCTCTATTCGAATTATAGTGCTGATTACTCGAGCGGAGGAACTATGACGGATTTTGCGAGCGTCTTTGGTGTACTGTTCAGCGGTGTAACTGGAATAATGGCAGGAGCAAATATGAGCGGTAAATAAGACTACATATTTGTCTTTGATATATTCTTTTTTCTCTTCTTTGATTACATGATTACAATTAATAGGAGAGTTGAAAAATCCCGGTCGAAACATTCCACGTGGGACATTATCCGCGGTATTATTCACGTTCATATGCTACATTTTGTTGTCTGTATTGACCGCTGCTACTACTAGCCGTTTTCTCCTGCAAAACAATTTTATGTACATGATGCCGATTAATATTTGGCCACCGTTCGTCGCCGTTGGCATTCTCACAGCTACATTTAGCGCTGGCTTAAGCAATTTGATAGGTTCTAGCCGAGTGTTGGAAGCATTGGCCAAAGACAACGTATTTGGTAAGTAATTAATTAATAATAAGTAATCGATAATATATAAAATTAATAATGACAATAAGAGTTTCATTTATAATTATGTAATTAAATATCTTTGCTTTATATTCATTTTCCAGGTTCGGGATTAAATTTTATCACACAAGGCACATGGCGCGGCAATCCAATAGCAGCCGTATTAACCTCGTGGATTTTGGTTCAGACAATCTTGCTTATCGGCTCATTGAATACTATTGCTCAAATTAACTCGGTACTGTTTCTTCTAAGTTATCTCGCTACTAATCTTGCGTGTCTTGGATTGGAACTTGCTAGTGCACCAAACTTTAGGTATTTTACTTAAGTACATCTACACAATTATTTTAATTATGATTAGTATACAATTTACCTTTTGTAAATAAATTTAAATCTTTCAGGCCAACATTTAATTACTTTACATGGCACACAGCGACTATAGGTCTTCTTGGAACGTTGATAATGATGTTTATAATCAACAGTATTTATGCTTCCAGTAGCATAATTTTATGCTTAATATTGATCATCGTGCTACATTTATTCTCGCCGAGTAAAAACGCACCGTGGGGCAGTATATCTCAAGCATTGATATTTCATCAAGTCAGAAAATACTTGCTAATGTTGGATTCGCGCAAGGATCACGTTAAATTTTGGCGTCCGCAGATGTTACTGATGGTCGCGTCTCCGCGTTCCGCCTGTCCTCTCATCGACTTTGTGAATGACTTGAAGAAGGGAGGACTTTATGTTATTGGACATGTGAAGGTTGGCGAATTTACCGGTCAAAGTAGCGATCCTACGATAGAGGAATATCCGCACTGGTTAAGTTTAGTTGATCATATGAGAGTTAAGGCCTTTATCGAATTGACCGTGACGAAGACGGTGCGCGAAGGCATGCAACATTTAATAAGACTGTCTGGCATGGGTGCGATGAAACCGAATACGATCGTTCTCGGTTTTTACGATGAAGAAACGCCGAGGAACTTTTTCTTGGATTCGCAATACGCGACGACGATGTTTGAAAATAGTACAACGCTTCCGAACAACACTGTGTTCCCTCTGAGACAAGCAACGGGCGAAAAGAATCTAGATCCCGTTCAATATGTCGGTATGTGCTCGGATGTTCTGAGATTGAAGAAGAATTTATGTCTATGTAGAAACTTTCATCTGTTAAATAAAGCACAGTTAACGAAGTAAGTAGAAGTACTCATTATCGTAAAAATATAATTTATAACGTCTCTATTGTTATACGTAGTAATTTGCAAATTAAACATTTGCTTTCAGAAATTCAAATTTGAAATATATTGATGTATGGCCAGTCAACTTTTTTCAACCAACCGATCAAGACCCATTCGATACAACGTCGTTATTCATGCTTCAGCTCGCATGTATCATCAACATGGTACCCAGTTGGAAAAATCTACATCTCAGAGTGTTCCATTGCGAAACTACAGACAGCAGTGAAAGTTTAAGTATTTCAGATTCTCCCAATTCGTTGAACGAATATCCGAGAATCTCGAACGAGCACAGGATTCGAAAATCATTGAATTTGCTAAGAATTTCTGCATCGATTAAAAAAATCCCAGAGTGGGGAGAGCAAATCCAAGGGTTAAAGGGTAGGCCTCTGCTTGAGCCGAAAAATCAATATGAATCAAGTACAGAGTCCAATAACGCTTTGAGTAACATGTCCCGAGCTTATATATTGGGGTAAGCATTACAACTGATTGACTACAATCTAATTTTTTTACAGAGAAAAAAGAAAAAAACTTTTTAATGAATAATTGTACTTTTTTTTTAAGCGTCAATCAACTAATAAGGCAATATTCTTCTCAAACTGCAACAACATTCATTTATTTGCCTGGCCCACCAGCCTCGAACACTTGGGATGAGGATGACATGTATCGACAGTATCTACAATCGTTGACAGAATTAACTGTCGATTTACCACCGACAGTTTTAGTACACGGTGTTAGTGCTGTTACGTCAACCACCTTATAACAAAATGTATGAATATAGATATGGAAATGTTTATGACATTCTCCATTGGTAACAAGAGAAGATACTTGAGAAGATATAAACTTAAATTAGATTTTAAATTATCATTTCTTATAATACTACTTACTAATTTAAGAAAAAGTTATATTAAATACACAAAAGATTGGCTATAACTATAATTTATTATATCATTAATAATTGATATGATAATCATTTCACAGAATGTATAATGATAATAGCTAGAGTATCGCAAAGCAATAAGCATTGATTTAAGATTAACAGAAAATTTGTCACGTCCGAAAGAAAGTTTAATATTGTAAGTATTAAAATTTATTACTCTGTGATAACCCAAAAGTATCGTGTAAGAAATTCTTTGGAGACAAATATTTTTAAAAATGACTGCTAGACAAACTAAAGCTGTAAATATATATTAATGGATTATAATATATCTTACAATATATTCCATATATAAAGTACTATTATTATTGTATCGCTCTTTTATATCGTATATTTCATATTGTGAATTATTCACCAATAATTATGAATATCATATATAAATAAAAATTTATTAATATTATTGAGTATAATGTCAATAAAAATTTATTTATTACCAGTGAAAAAGTTGATGGTATTTGTAAATATTTATATGCGGTACATGAGTTTGCGTTCCATTTTATGCATAAGGGTGCCGTCCCATGGCAGAGATTTTTCACGTTACGCATACTGCATAACTATATAATCAGATCAGGCGTTACGCGATACGCGTAATATAAAAAATCTGCCATGGGACACGGCATCCTAAAAGTATCCGGTTCGAATCTTCGCTAAGTGGGGTTTGAGTCTCCGCTAAGTGAGGTTTGAATGCGCGCGCGCTATAAGTGCAGCGGGAGAATAATCAATAAAGTCAATAATTCTCCGCTAAAATGTGGTTCGAGTCTCTGCTAAGTTGGGTTCGAATCTTCGCTAAGTGGGGTTTGAGTCTCCGCTAAGTGAGATTTATAATTGAGCCTGCTCCTCTAAAATATGAATTTAGCGGAAACTCGAACTTAGCAGAGACTCGAACCACATTTTAGCGGAGATTTATTGAATTTATTCTCCCGCTGTGCACTTATAGCGCGCGTATACATGCAATTATATACATTCGAACTTAGCAAAGATTCAAACCTCACTTAGGGTGCCGTCCCATGGCATACGCGCGGTTTACGTGAAAAATCTCTGCCATGGGACCCTAGTGCGTATATTTGTATCATTAGATGCGGATAGTGGATTTGCGCTAATTTGCGTCTACAACCTCTTATCGAGGTTTATGACGCCTTTCGATGTATGTTGTTATGTATAAATACGTACGTCATACATCATACATATACACGCCCAGTAGAAGGAGATTAAAATTTGACCAATCAGAAATGAATACAAATTTAGTCCGTTTTATTCTGATTGGTTACATTAGTTTCCAATTCACAGTCCTCAATCTCCACTCCTCCAGCGCGTAGTTTGATACAGGCTTAATGAACACCGGTTACATATATATCTACGGCGTATATATATATATGTATATTTATCAATGAGGCTCTATGCCACGTTGGCAGTTTAGCGCTGCACGGTATTTTTTCGTAGAAAAGGCGTTATTCCGTCAATTTACGTATAGATATTTTTGAATATTGAAATTGTGAAAATGTCGATATGACAAAGTGCGGAAGGTGTTAAACACGAGACTTTTCGACGGTTCGAAGCGTGTGCTCGTAGCGTGCCTCAGGGTGGGGCGAAGATAAAAGTGAGAAGTGGGTAAGAAGCAAAATTTAGGCTGCTTCCTCGCGTTGCACTTGCGACTGTTTGCGACTTCACTTAATCGGCGATGATCATACGTGTCGTTAACTGTTGACCGGTACACCGACAACGATTTCATTGTTAGTACTTTGTTTAATAGCAGCGCAAGTGGTGAGAGAGAAACAGTTGTGCCTAATTGTATAAATTTTGTATGTTAGACAGTGATGTCGTCAGACATGAACCTGTTTGATTTGCTGGAGGACACGTTTCTGAAAGGGGACATTATTAAGGATGAGCTATTTGATCATAATTATGGCGACGTCATTACGGTGAGTTCTGAGTTTCCTGGCTTTATAATTACATCTAAGATTCTATTGTACTTATCATGCCGTGAGTGACTCATAGCTACCAGCTTATTTTAATCTTCAAAACAGACCTAACCACGTCACTTTTCGTAATGCTGAAGAAAAACATATGTTTAGTTTAGAAATTTGTTTGCTTAATAATCTATTGAAATTTTATTAAATATTATACTATCCGTTAAAAATTTATGATGTTAAACTGCAATGAAACACAATTAATATGCAATAGCATGATTGGGAATACAATATGCGTATATATCTGGAAATTGTAAATTATACTAATTATATAATATAATAGTATAGAGAGACAGTCGTATTATCATTTGAAGAAATTTTTACAATTCTTAATTAGATGATATACATCGCTGAAGTAAAAGGAGGTGTCACAGATTGATTTATTGTATGATATTTATTGTTGTTTTTTTTGTGAAGTCAATAATAAGAATTATTAAGGGCAAATTATCTGTATTATGATTTATTAGAATTAAACGATTTTTCTTTTATATAAAACTGATATTTGAAGATGTTATGGTAGGAAAGTTACGGCGATATTTTTCGTCACATTCTATTTCTTATTTAGTTCACTCAAGTGTCTTTTAACAACTGAAAAATTACTGCAAATATAAGAGACCTACTTAAATATACTTTCAACCAAGTTAAAGCAGAGCACATAACTGTAGAGATATATGGAAACTGAATCGAGAATTTTGGCCCAAATTTATTTTTTGAGTCAACTGTTTGTCATGTTTAAATGATTCTTTTTTATTACAATGTAATAGGCACATATCTGTTTTAAAAAAATAATTGTACGTAATAACTGAACATCATAGTTAAATAGCATAGTGCTTTGTGACTGTTAGCTTTAGTTATTTCAATTAATAATATAGTCAATGATTATAACATCTGCTTTTAAAATTGTAATTTTAATGATTTTTGCAATTACTCTGTTTATTATGAAAATTATGCGTATGTATTTTATTGTGCTCTTATCATATGTGAAATTTTGATTTACGTTTATATAAATTTACATGATACAAATATGCACGCCATGTGTTCTTACATAGTCCATATTTACTTATATTTATAAGTTGCTTATTATTTATATTGTTTTATCTCACAGTAATGTAGTTGATCTCATTATGAATTAATAATAATCTATAATTTTTATTCAAATTTAGAATGGAATTTTACTCATACTTTTATATGCTATGTATGTTATAATAAATATATTTAGCAATATATTTTGTATGATGTACATACGTGTATATGCTCTAATTCTTCAATTCTTGTTTTTTTATTGAATTACGCTTGTTTTTATTGAATTATTAGTCATATGGAGTGACTAACTTTTGACTGGGACTTGCACGATAAAACCACCTTAATCATCTAAAATCTAAAGTTTCACACCTGTTGCCAAACCTGTCATTTAAAAATCGCAATATTATTTGGAGAATAGTAACGTTAATAGAAAACGTTTTTTTTTTAAATGATGCCGTAGAATCTCTTGCTGAGAATTATTCAAGAAACAATGTTGCGGATACGAATAATACATCTTTCAGAGATAGTTTTGTCAGTGGAGGGTTTTTAACATATGGAGTGCCGATTACCCACGTGGTTTCGCGTATAACCTCAGTTCGAAGTCGCTGAAACGAGTCTCGTACGACACCATATTGTATCTGTCTGATTCCGTTGGTCGATGATTAAACTAAAAGAAAATTAAAATGAATTTTTTTAAATTAAAATAAATTTTTATTTACCACGTACGAAGCGGCGTAATTAAACGCATAGTGGCAGATGTATAATTTAAAATCTCATATTCAAAATGTAGATATGTTTAATGATAACGCCGTTATCTGTAATAATAATTGTCATTACTCATGTTAAATGCTCTTTTTTTTATCGATTTCTATTTTCTTACATCGGTCGCTTTCTATTCGTAAAAAAATTTGCAAAATTGTTTGCAAATAATTTTCAAAAAGTTTTTTTTAATGTTGCGATAGCGTTAATGTATTCGTACGGTTAATGATTAATCGGAAAGATTTTTTTTCCATTTCTTTTCGAATACGTTTGAACCAGAAATTGAGAACCCGGTCTTCACGCGGCGAATGACCTTTGGATAGGTACCGTTATGTTACGGAATTCTTCGTAACCGCAAGTCTTAACTCTTTACCTCGTGCATATACCGATATAAATTTATATTACAATTCTTTTTTTTTAACGTAATTGAGTGTATTTTACTCCTTAAAATTATATCTCAATTTTTAATTTTTATTTGTTCTTTTTAATGAGTTACAATGTAAAAGGCGTTAATAATATTTTATGTATCTTTTAAATAAAGATAAGCGCAAAAGTTCTGCTTTAATTACGAAACAATTTGCGCAGCATGCGATTGATAAGAGAATCGCTCTGCGCATTTAATTGATTTTTAAGGCTAAAGTGTATTTTTAAATCCCGCGCGAGTAACGTAAAGTTGAAAATCAAAATTAGTGAGATTATTCGTGTCGTTATATATACATATATAAGATAATAAATTTATTGCGTTGAGATTTGATAAAAAGGGTTTTTTTTTTTTCCAAAAATGTTCTGATAAATCCGATATCTCGTTTCACTGCATCCCTATCACTATTTAACGATAATACGTACTTAGCTAACGAGGTGAAACATATGTCGTGTTGATTTTAATTATGTAAGATGTAAGACAAGGTTTCTGTTATTTATTTTGCATTCTCTCTGTCTTGATTTATCTTAAACTTATGCACAATATATTTATGCACAAAAAAGATACATGCGTGTGATTTAGCGGTTTATGAATAATAACTTGTCGAATTTCTATACAAATTTTATACTGATGTCATCAAATTATCTATTTCTCTATTTTGTTGAAATGAAAGATTATCCATCAGTCACCCAGACGATGTTTATATAATTATTTCAGGCAGAAGAATACCCATCGAATTCCGATGACCTATTTGCCTCGATCTTGAAAATGGAGGAGGACCCAAATCTTGATTTCAACTTGATTGGGAAGGATCTAGAAACAATCGCGTCCTCCTCGTCGGATAGTGGACTCTCTAGTGCGCTGAGTCTTTCCTACGAACAGCAATTGAGTCCATTCCTTTCGAAGGCGGACAATAATGAGGAAGAGGAGATCATTAATTCTGACTTGAACAGTCCGCAAGATTTTGTAGACTTTGAGGCTGCGGCCAGTCCGTCTTTAGCTAGCGTAGATAGCCCTGTCAGATCTGTCATGAGCTCGAATATCGGTTCACCGATCGCCGACATGGCCGAAGAGATGGATTACGAGCAATCTTTAGTTGCCATTGTAACGCCAAACAATACTACGCCAAGCTTGAACGCTACTATCGCCACGGAACAACCGGGTGTTGATATCGGTAAGATCTTATCGCATTCAAGGGAAACATGTAAATGTCTTTTTATATGATATACTAAACGCAAGGTTTTCGGGAAATGTCATTGAATAGCATACCGTTGTTCTGATTAACATGATGCAATTTTAGCTTCGATAACATATTCATGTTTTGTAAATTACGATATACGCTTAAGACATGTTATCGATTTGACATATACTTGTTTCTTTGTTTATTTTTTCTTTTTGCTCCACCGGTTGGTGGATTATAGCGCCTTCAACCTTCTCGCAAGGTTATATAACGCTGTCATTGGTTTAGAGCTTCTCAATAATTTACAATAAAATATCAATTTTAAAAGGGATTATTTTTTTATAATTAATTTTTTTATAATTTTTTATAATCAATTTTAACAACAGATTATTTTTTTCTCTAATTTTTTATTTATGAAAGTTTATTCTGTAATGTATGAAAAGGATATATTATAGGATATATTATGTAGATTCTTATACTATCTATATTCTACAGATTCAGCACCTAAACAGCAAATTCAACCAACGCCACAAGAAAATACTGTAAATATTCGCAATTTAACATGTAACGGAAAGCGAAATATTCGACAATTGATACGCGTTACTCCAATGGGTTCTGGTAATCCACGATCTATTCTATTGCCAGTGAGTCTAAAAGATATGAAGGAAGTCCGAGCTATTAAAATCATGACAACACAAGCGAAAAATTTGAAAGGCTTCAAAATCAATCAAGCAAACATAATAAATAAACCTATTCAGGTAATATATGCAATGTAATATTTAAGAAACTCTTCAATTAAAGAAGTTTATGCATATATCTATGTGTGTGTATACCTACACATTTATATATCCATTAAGTTACATAATCAAATCTAATATATTCATCAAAACACATAATTATAGATGTATTATACTGATGTTATATTTTTGATACATATTGATATTGCGTTTAAAAATGACTTTTTTCATGTATTATAATTAGATGACTATCAAACAAGAGGATTCTAATAGTGATAAAGGTAATTCCAGTGATGAGGTGACGTCAGAAACGGACTCAACTTATCCACGACTAAAGTTAAATGCTGAAGAAAAGCGATTATTGCAAAAAGAGGGCATTACATTGCCCAGTCATTATCCGCTGACAAAGCACGAAGAGCGTGAGTTAAAGAGAATCAGACGCAAGATCCGTAATAAAATATCCGCGCAGGATTCTCGCAAGAGGAAAAAGGAATACGTGGACGGCTTGGAAGATCGCGTGAAGCAGTGTACAGAGGAAAATATAACTTTGTTGAAACGAATTAAAGCCTTGCAGTCGCAGAATCAAAGTTTGGCCGGACAATTAAAAAGACTACAAGCGCTCATACAAAAGGGTAACAAGAGCGCCCAACCGGCAACTTGTCTGATGGTCTTGCTGCTTTCGTTAGCTCTTGTCGCTCTACCGAATTTGCGACCACATTCCAACAATAATAATGATTTAACACAAGAACAGGAGCAGCCTGAGAAAACATCGCTCGCAGGTAAGTTCTAGATGTAATACATCATAATATTTAGATATGAAATTCAGTGCAAACACTTGAAAGTCGAAATATCTTCTGTTAGATAATGTGAATTGAAAACTTTTTCATGCTTATCCTTGATATTTCATTATTTACACAGACTACAAAACAGACAAGTGTCAATAATGACTTCAATAAGTTGCAGACATTGATAAGAATATCTGCAAGATTGTACACATTACGTAACATTAGAAAATGAAATTAATTCAAGATTTTTTGCATCAAACTAACTTATGAATTTCAAAATATTTAAAGTGCAAATAAAATTGTTACAATATAATTTGCATACATATTTCGCATACATTCGAAGATATATTACAAAAACACATATTATATAATGTGAATTTTAATGCTATATTATTATTGTTAAATATTGTTTGCAAGAATGTACGTTTACATGTACATGTTTGTTTCGTTTTCGTATAAAATAATTTAGTCCGTATTGAACTGCTTACATAGCAGATTCCATTTGAACAAATAAATGTTCTCGAATTTCGTCATAGTTGCACATTGCAAAGTAACCGACGCATGTAGTATTTTATATAGTGTTCAAATTTTGCAGGAAATCGTTTAATCACGAGTTATTTAATAAATTTAAAAATGATATTTCATGTTCTATAATTCGTGGGAAATTAATTTTTTCTATATTCAAATGCATATGTAAAACTTGGGATAGACAATACAAACCAAAAGATGTAAACCAAAAGGATAAACTTAAAACAAAGTTAATAAAAAAAAATTTATATACATATGAGAACAGTGAAAACTGTCACACGCTCTCTTAAACTTGGGATCGTTAAAAAGTAGTCTTACTACTTTCTAAAAGAGGGCAGGAAAACACTGGTCCTTTCACTGACTCATTTATTATTCAGACTTTTTTCATGTAATTTATGTAGACATCCCTATTAAAATAAACTGACTTTTAAATGAAGGATAAATATAAAGAGTAATCAAAAAGTATGAATATTCTTTACTTATCATCAATAAAAGTTAATTATAAAAAGTACTATAAATACAATTCATTCTTTTTGCCGGATACATTCTGTGTTTCTATATTAAAATTGCCGTGTTACCGGCGATTGAAGCTTCTTTTCCCCAATGTTTAAAAATTCATATCTTTCAAAAAAATAAAGATATAAACTTCTTTCTGGGCTCATCTTAAAGATAAATTATGTGGCTATTTTCTAAAAAATCGTAATTTTATTTAAAAATGGCCGATTCAATATGGCCGATTATAACGTTATTTTATTGAAAATTGTTAAAATTTGTTTAATTAAAATGTAATTTGGTATAAATGTTATTGGAAGATGTATGGGATTCAATACGCAACGCGCGCGAATCGCGCGCCTGTTATGTACTAGTGTCTGATAAATTATAGAATGGACTCGAAAATCTTAATAAATTATCTGCTATATAATTACTGCCGGTATAATAACGTAAGCTATAGTCATAGTCAAACTATATTCTATGGAACAATTGTTTTAATTTTAGGTCGCTCGAGGACTTTACTGTATACGAAGCAGCTAATGGATGAAGAATTGCAGCAGTACGGTGAGTTGTTGCAGGAGGTCGAAGGCCTTCTGGATCATGACTACAGCCCAGTAATACAGATGCCTCTCTACAAACGTCCCCGCATTGACAATGAAGCTACTCCTAAGTACGTCTCTTCTATAAATCATGTCGGAGGAACGCTTGGCTTGAAGTCAGATCTTGCCATCTCAAAGAAGAAGAAACAATATATCGAACCACCGTTGGATGATATATGGCCGCCGCCAAATCCAGGCGGGCAGAAAACAGTCAAAGTGGATAAGCTCGAAGCTCTTACTAACGAACTCAAGATCAACATCTCTGACGCCGAAGGCACTAGAACAGTTCTTGTCAAGATGCCTCAGGATAAGTAAGACGTGTTTACTTTTGTGTGCAGCGATACAGTAGTATCTTATTTTAGCTTAGGAATTCACGACGATTAGAAATATATTTTATTATTAGAGCGGCAGTAAAGTAAATTTGTTTCCTTTGGTCGTTTTAAAAATTATTGATAGTCAACGTCATTAAAACAACTTTTTGATATCAATAATTGAAATAATAACTATGTTCAAGAGACGCAATAGTTATACAACCGTTGAATAAAAAAATATTGCGAATAAATATCTATGTATAGATATAGATAATTATTTTTTAAAGGCCAATTATTCAGTTGTATTTTCTACATGCGGCCAATATATTTCTCAGCAGACATCGAATTGTCGATACTATTAACATAATGATTTAATAATGTTAAACTGTGAACCGCAGACGGCCGCAGTCATACAACAATCTTATTCGCTAAATGTGGTTCACATATACATATTTGTATGTGTATGTGAGTGGGAAATGGAGGGATGGAGCAAAAGGGGGATGCTCTATGTGCAAAATTTTCTAAGAATTTTTAATGATTAGATGACTTTTATTTACTATTTATATGAAAAGCAGTATGAATACTATTATTCTTATTATAGAATTTTATGATTATAATTATTATCGATATTTTTAAAATAATGATATATATAAGATACTTTTTGTAAATAATTCAACATATATGTATACATAAAATTTATATACATACAATTATCGCTTTAATGTTAAACGAGAAATGAAATAAATATATCTCTACAATTAATAATGAATTCAAATTTACAATTATCATGTAAATATATATTCACACACATGTATGAATAGCTTTGCCCTAAAAAATAATAAATACTATATATACATATATACACACACATACATACACGACATGCTATATTAATCATATGCTTCTTACATTACTTCTAATCTCTGTCTTTAATTTCATTTAATTTTCAGTTTTCAATTTGACATTGTTCAATTGAAGCTTTTATCTCTTAAATTATTACAATATAATTCATATACTTATTCTATTTTATATAAGTTATGCCAGTATTTTTTTAATAACCGAAAAAAATAATGATCATATTATCTCGAAAAATATGCGTATTTGCGTTTATGGATATTTTGTATGCATTTGTGTGTCAATCATGCTTCTACATGTGATATTCATTCTTTAAAAAGTAATGTTTAGAATAATACAGCATAAGTTATTATTTTATATATGCAATAATGTGTAAGTTACCCATGAAAAATTATGAAAAATGAATTATTCTAATTCCATGAGTTTACAAAAATGTTTAAGGCAAGCAAGAACATGGCACAGTTTTCGCCAAAAAGACTGTATTCTAAATAAATTGAAGTAAAATATATATTCTTTGTTCCAAATTCAAAATATTATTTATCTTGCACACAAAACGTACTAAGTTTAGTATAAGTTAAAGAGATAGATCATAAGTTTTTCATATTATGTGCAATATATATATATGTATGTTTACTATGTGCACGAAAATGTAAATAAAATATATTATTGATGCATGACAAATCATTTTGTTAATAACTTGTACTTACACATTTATTCAGAAATATTGGCGAGAAATTAACTGAATCAGCATGTTCAAAAGAATATAAACTTTAATAATTCTGTTTATTTCCAAAAGTATAATATATGCATGCTATATTTTTATATACATATAGAATGATAAAATGTCTTCTGTGTAAACTTATTAAGATCACCATGCTATAAACTTTATTCAGTATATGTGTATTGATATTAATAAAATGTTTGTGTGAAAAATTACACAATTTTTTTTAGATTTAATAGTTTTATATAGAATAGATATAATATATACAATTTATATTAATATCTTGAAATTGGTTATTACATTATATCAAATTATATTATCCAAGAAATATTTATGCAATAAATATAAATAAATCAAAATGGAGAACATGAAATAATTCTAATTGTAAAGTTAAAAATTAGTACAGATTTAATTAAAAAATTGAGAAAACAAATTACATTAAAATTGCAAGATGAGTAAAAGAGAATATTAACAAAATTAATTATTATAGTATAACCTAACCATAAATTATTGCCAAACTTAACCTAATCTGTTCGTAAGAGAGCGGTCCGGTCATAGCTGCGATCGGCTACGACTATGGTTTCAGCGCCTCTAGTTCAAAAACGTGGACATTGAACTACGTAGCCA